ACTGTCCAGCCATGCCACATGCTGACACTAAATAGCCCCTATAACCCACTATAGTCGTGCCCACCTACAGGGCAATTACAGCGCCACTTCAGTGCCCGCTCTGCGAAGGCACGCTATACCCGGCCATACAAAATACAGTGCGTCACTCTTCCCTCTAGCTTCTCACACGTTAACACCCTTACCACCGGCAGGAGGCTACTTATGGGGAAACAAGCTCTTGATGATCCGATACTCCTCTCACCGATCGGAGGAAGAGAGAGATTTTCAGTGAAGGCAAGCCTATATAGGCTTGCCTGGCTGTGGTGGTGAGGGTGTTTGCCCTGTCAAAGAGGACAACGGAGCTCTAAGGAGGTCTACTCTGTAAGGCCCAAAGAGCTTTGAGGAGCTCCACCGACACTACTAAAAGCTTTTTGCCCCTAACCTCCAAGGCGGCCCCTGAGTTGGGGGCTTATAATCCATCACCTCGTGTCTCACACTGCCTAAGGTACCTGAGGCGTCAAGTATTGATTTCAAGTAACGAGATGTCGAAGACGAACTCAACCAAATACTCCCCCTGCTTGCACCTCTAATCCCTGACTGCTGGGACTCCCTTCAGCACCTCAACAATCCTGTCAATGATCCGTGTCCCTCCATCAACCCCTAACCATCCCGGCCCAAACACACCAATCGTCATCTCGTCACCCTTCACTGAAACCTCAATATCAGTTTGGTCCTACTCAGCCTGTTAGCGATGAACTACACCTCGTATAAGCCAACTTGAAGCCACTCACCGCGTATGCGTCCCGCACAGCATTATTCGCCAGCTCCCGAGGAATTCTATACTCTTCCGATGCCTCCCTCCCTTCCTGGCTCCCCGCCTCCCCATCCGCCACCATCAACGGTTCCAGTTCAACCTTCACCCCATCCGCATCATCCTCGTCACGGGCCGGGAGGCTGAGGAAATTGACAAAGCTGTCCACCTTGAGCCCCGTCCAGTCCATAATCTCCCAGGCGCCGACCTCTGCTTGCTTAGCCAACGAGAAAACATGGATATCACTTAGTATCATCCTCGCCACGTCAAGGAGGGAATACCCATCCTCAAGCACGACCCGCAGAGGTACCAAGCGGAGCTGTGGGTAGGATGTCCGGCTATTTTTTACCCTGGGCCACCATGAATCATGGCTCGCAAAATAGACGCCGAACATCACACGCTCAGGTCGGACCCCTTGAGCAGACGAGGCTAGAACCTCTGCGTACGCAGCAAAGAAAAGCGATTGCAAGCTGATTCCCTGAAACTTGCACCTGCCCTTAAGCTTCGAAACTTCGAGTGCGTTCAGGGCGGCCTTTCTGACCACTCTAGTCCGGGAGCTCGAACCTTCGTACTCCTTTTGCTCTTGTCCAAAAGAAGAAAGGGGCGTTGGGACCACCCGAGCAAGACATTGGGTCCAGAACTTCTTTCTCGAAGCCCGCCTTTTCTCTGAGGCACATTCACGAACAGCCTCCCGCCAGTCAGACTCGGGGTTTGCGGGCTGTTCTGTCGTGGTGCAGAGAGCGGAAAACCGGTCCATGAGTGTCATTAGGCTGACCGCGTCGTACAGAGCGTGGTGAATTCTGAGCTGGATCTTCCATGTCTCCGGGCCGCACTCCTCCGCGTGGAAGTGGTGGTACGGCTGGACAAGGCCCCCTGGTGCAGTGTCCGATCCCCATATCCCTGGAGAGGCAGAAGACCAACCCTGATGGACAACAGAAGGCTGAATGATGGCCTGTAGGATTGGGATTAACCGAGAGCCTGTCGAGATGAATACGGTCCTCAGAATCGGTGTCTCAGCAACCAGAGCCTCCCACGCAGTGGTGATAGCGGCCTTGTCCACTCTCCCGCGCAAAATGAAGGTAAACAATGGGTAGAAGACTTCTCCATTCGTGTTCTGCCACACCGAGAGCATGTGCACCTGCATTGGCGTGGCAGGCAACACCTCCTGCACGACCGATTCGTTGACCCCAGCATCAGAGAAGGCTGAGGCAACGTCAATATCCGCGTCCCACGCAGCCGGGTTGGGATTAGGACAGTCGCTTTCATTCGACGACAGGGGGGCCTCCGAGCCGGTGGCAGAAACAATCTGAGCCATGTCTGCAATCGACCTAGACTTCAACACATCTCGAAACCCCACATCGATTCCCTTCTTGCGCAAGAGTGAGCCAGCTTTGATAGCGCTGATGGAGTCCAGACCGAGATGGTATATGTTGTGCCTCCTCAGGATGCTTGCAACCGGGACCCCTGACACCTCGGATAGTACGTCTCTAATCTTCTTCTCAATGGGGGACCATGAGACGTCGCTCTCACCGGTTGACGGCCCCGATGGGGTGGTCGTTGAGGTATCGTCTTTGACTCCAAGCGCAGTTGGCCCTAACCCGCAGATTGAAACCTCCGCATTACCAAAGACAAGGACTTCTGCGTCGGGCGAACGGACGAGGTACGCAAGCACCGAGTCAAGCTCTTTCAACAGACGAACAGAGTCATCGTGCGTCCCACAGGTTGCGTTGATTGCCGCCCTCCAGGTGAGCTGCCCCCCTGACGATGACGCCATCTCGACACAAACCGGGTATTCCACTGCAGATGAGCCATCAACAGACTTGAGGAGCTGCTCCCACTCACGTCGGCTGGGCGAATCCACCTCGCGCTGGTGGATGAAGAGGGTATTGAACAGTGGCCCTTTAGCCTGAGCCAACTTCTGCGCTTCACGCAGCGGAAAATGCTGGTGAGGCAAAATACTAGCCACGTTATCCTGCATGTACCGCACCCAAGAGGAGACCGTGCCGTGAAGAACGCTCCTGATTGCAACGGTGTTCATGGTTGGGAATACGAGATCCTCGAGCGCCTCAGAATCCCGACCGGAAAGCACCACTCCAAAAATGACGTCCAACGCCCCAGTGCGCGCAGCCAGCAGAGCAGCCCAGCAAGATTGGCCCAACGTCTGCAGTGTCACGGCCTGACTTCTGCAAAACGAGGCAATCTCGGTGCTTGGGAGAGAGGATGCCAGCTCCACATGGTGTGCTGTGCCCTCTTGCTCAGGGGTCTCTTGGCTCCAAGGGAACAGGGTCGGATTGCTGTCCCTGAGAAACCCGGACCAGAAGGAAGACGCATCCTGGTGACCTCGGAAGAGGAGAGTGTCCAGTTGGCTGACATAATCCTCCATATCACCAGGACTGTAGCTGCCCTCGTATGCGCGCTGTACGTCTTGATGAAGAAGACCAAGCGACCACCCATCGTACAGTGCGTGGGCAATAGAGAGAACCAGGAATTTCTGCTCACCTATGCTGGCAAAGGTAATCTGCAGCAGGTTGGATCGTCCAGCTCCCTCCAGAGCTCGTTGAGTAGCGGCGTCGCACACCATTGCTAACTGGTCCCGAAAGTCAAGGCCGACATCCGAGATCCGCGGAGACGACTCCCGCCTTATGACCTGGCAATATGTGAACTCAAAATCAGGGCTGTCAACCGGTAGGAAAATGGTGCGGAGTATTGGAGATCCTGCAATCACCGTATTCCAAGCAGCCTTGAGCCTGCCAATGTTCACCGAAGGCGCAATCTCCCGGATGTCGTGATTGAAGTACAACCGGAAATCCGACTCAATCATTCCCGCAATCATTGACTCCTGGAGTGGAGTGGCTGGGAGAGCAATATCGCCGTCTCCAAGTTCGCCCAACCCGGCAAGATACTCTCTTAGGCGAGAGCGAGCTTCACTACCCACGCTCAGGCTTGTGGTAGGTCCGTTGTGCTGGGCATCGTCACCCCTCCGCTTGAGAAGTTGCAAGGCGGCCGCGATTGACTGAGCCTTCATCAACTCGCTTGTCTTGATTCTGATGCCATGTCGCTTCAATCTCGCGGAGAGTTTAATGACATCAATGCTGTCGAGGCCCAATCCAAACAAAGGGGTTGCCTCGGTAACCGTCTCAGGGACTATGTTGGCGAGCTTGGCCACCTCGTCTCGGAGGAGCGACGCTTCCTCGGTCCAAGCAAACGTTTGAGGAGTGTCGTCTACTAGATCGTCGAGCCCATTTCGCGCATCATTACCGTGCCCGTTTCCGATCGGTCCTTGTTCATTGGGAGTGATGATTTGGTCTGCGTTCTCGGCCATGGCATCAAACGCCCATTGCAGGCCGTCCATGCAGTCTGAAAGCTTGTCTTGGCTGTAGGCAGCAGACTGGGCGACCAGAAGCAGACGCATGCAATCATCAGAACTCAAGGTAGCCTCCAAGGCCAATGGGTAATCAGCACTTGGTTCCGAGTCAACCGTCGTCCACAATTCCTGTTCCACCGCCACGGCTGCATCACTTCGATGAAACGAGAAGAGTGTATTGAACATCGCCTGGCCCCTTGAGCACCACTTCTGGATATCGCGAAGGGGAACATGTGGAAAGGCAAGAACTGCAGTGTTAAAGTCATGGCATTGGCGAATCAAGGACGCCCAAGTCGTTCCGGACGTCCCGTTCTCGGTGGAAAGTCGAGCCTGGAAGGGCAGCGTGTTGAACAGAGGTCCAACTACCTCCTCGATGCCCTCCAATTCGATCGTGCGCCCCGAGAAGATGATACCGATCGTCGGATTGGCAGCGAGGTGCTTGGCCAGGACGCTAACCCAAGCCGCCTGGATGATGGCTTGGTGGGTGACGCCGAGCCCCTTTCTCAGGGGTTCGAGACGTCTTAACGAGACATCTTGATGTGCTGAGATAGTTGAAGTACTGACGGAAGTGGTGATGGCTGTGCTGAAGGTTACGCCGTCAAAGTGCTTCACCCAGAAAGATCTGCTGCTGCTAAAGTCCTGTAGCGGTCCGTGAAGCAGAGCATCGAAGAAGGGTGGTCCGGACGCGGGCGTCTTGCCGAGATAGCCACCTGCCAGTGACTGATATTCGCGCGCCACCCGATCAAGAACGAGCAAAAGACTGTTGGCATCGTAAAGTCCATGGAATATGTGCAGCAGGAGAAGGCGTTGCCCTGTGCAGCCCACATAAACGAGAACCGCCTCCAAGGGCTGCACCAAGGAACCTTGGTTCTTCGCAATCCACGACTCGCGTGACTCGACAATGGCATCTTCGACAGTTGACTCCCCACAAACCTGGATTTGTCTTTCCCTCCACTGCATTACCAATTCCTTCAGTGCAACCTGGACAAAACCGTCGATCGTACGAACAAACTTCGTTCGCAGAATGGGCAGAGCATCAACCGTCTTCTGCCACGCTTGGCGGAGAAGTTGCGGCGAAACCTCACGCGCAAGCTGGAACCGGAAAGTGTTGAAGTAGGCACCGTCAATCTCAGCCCTCGAAATCATGCCCTGCTGCAACGGCGAACATGGCGCAATGTACTCGATCTGGTCTGGTGTGACTCCCAGTTCTCCACAAACGTGCGATCGGTGTTTGTGAGCGCACGCTTGCACAAGCTGCCTTGCCGCTGCAATGGACTCAGAGTTGGACGACCGTTTGGGCACCTCTAGAGCACCGGCCAGATCGCAAAGCAGAGGATGCCGCAGTACCAGAGAAGGGGTCGCTTGGACAAGCCCTTCCTTTCTCAAAGCCCGACAGAAGCGAAGAACTGAGATGGAGTCGATGCCCAGTTCGAAGATGCTGGAATTTGGCAAGATAAGACTCATATCCAGAGATTGCATCTCAGCAAGTGCCTTAGCAATCTTACCCTCCGTCAAGCTGAGGGTTCGGCGCGCCTGTTCGGTCGAACAAGAGAGTGATACCAGCTTTTCCGGACTGAGCCAGGAAACAAATGTCCCGAGTGTCTTGATATCAGTTTTATTGTTGGCGGATAGTGGAATACACGACATCTGGAGCACGTATGTAGGAACCATGTAAGCCGGAAGCTTGGAACGGCAGGCATCGCGAGCACGCCGGCAGAGATCCAAAGCATCCGGGCTCTCAATAATACGGAGAGGACCTGCCAACGTTCTCGCCGTGTTGGCACCCACAATGAATGACACGAGAAGATCCTTTGCGTTTACTTCGTCCCGCACCACCAGCGTGGCAACGTCGGTGACCGTCTCAACCCCTTTCCGGATCGTGTGGTTGATCTCTCCAATTTCCAGGCGCTGACCACGAAGCTTCACCTGGTCGTCCGCACGCCCTAGGAAGTCGAAGCACCCATCATGGAGAACCCTGACCAGATCACCTGTACGGTACACGCGATCCCCGAAGTGCTGCAGGGTGGGGAACTTTTCCGCCGTAAGGCCCTCACGCTTCAGATACCCCTTGCCGACCAGCCGGCCAGAAACGCACAGTTCGCCCACGCCGCCTCTAAGCACCGGCTGCTCTGTCCCGCGTTTAAGCACATAGGAACCGACATTGACAAACTGCCGGCCAATGTTGGATGCGCGGCCGGAGGTTGGTACTCGCGGATAGACCGTCACCCCAATGGTTGCCTCGGTGGGACCGTAGAAGTTGTAAATGACTGCCTTGGAACCCCAGACATCAAGGATCTCCTGTTTCAGGGACTCGCCTCCGGTAATGAAAACCCCCTTGCAAAGGCTTGGAACGTCGTCCGGATGAAGTAACCGCGCCAAACTTGGAGTAAGGTCGATATGGGTGATACCCAGGCGTGATATTGCCGCAGCAAGGTCCTCCAAGATCAAATCCCGAGGCGCGGCAACGAGCGTGATGCCCACCGACCAGCTCCAGTACTGCTCTAGGACCGACACGTCAAAGTGGAGGGACGCAAACTGCAACCATTTCGAATCCTCCTGCCAGTGGCCTTGGAATATGCGCTGGAAGGCAAGCATGCACTGTACCGCGTTGTCGTGTGTGATGAGACAGCCCTTTGGTGTCCCAGTTGTGCCAGAAGTATAAAGACAGTAGCAGACATCGTCGGGCTGGACGTCTCGGTTGGAGATTTGAGGGTCGGCAGGGACAGCCAGCAGCGAATCTTCGTCTATGGTCAGCACTGACACCGCAGAAGTGAGGGGCTTCCACAGCTGCCCTTTTCCGTCAAGGGCGGTTAGCAAGACCGAGACACCGGAATCCATGATGATCAACTCGTTTCTCGAACGTGGCGCTGCAGGATCCAACGCAACAAAGGCACAGCCGGATTTGAGAATGCCCAGGATCGAAAAGTAGGCGGCTGGGCATTTGTCAAAGTAGACAGCGACTATATCCCCACGGTTGACATGGGGATGTAACATCTGCGCTACCCGGTTGCCGTTGGCGTCAAGTTCCGCGTACGTCCAAGTGCGCCCAACTGGGACGCCATTGTCAAACCTTTCCACGAAGTGCAGGGCCGTGGCATTGGGTGTGCTGAGTGCCTGCAGCTCCACAAAGTGATGAAGGGATTTCACCGTCGTCGGGATCTCGCGCATCTCGGGCGGAAGGATGGAGAAGAGATCAGGACGTAACGCAAACAGGTTTGGTTCTCGTCCGTTAGGTTCGAGAGCAAGGTGATGAATAGCTGCGTCAAACTGCTTAAGCAGGATGGTGGCCTGTTGCTTGGGCAGAACGTCACTAAAGAACGTGATCTGATATCGGAGTCGATCCCCTTGAGTGGGTTCTATCTCAATCGACACGGGGTATTCGATGTTGGCCTTCTCTTCAATGATGCGCCAGGGGCTTCTTTCTGCCGGCGCGATGTCAAGTTTCTGATAGACTAGCAGCGTGTCAAACAGCCTAACATCCGGACATCCAAGCCATTTCTGTATGTGAGTAAGAGACTGGTGTTGCTGCCCAAAAAGCTCCGTATTGTACTTGAGCATCTGAGTCAGAAGGGTACAGTTCGAATCGCTGTTGCTTGATATGACGGGCAGAGTCGTCACGCAGGGAAACACAGCGTTGCGAGTTGTCTCCGTGCTCCGGCCGGACAAGACCACGCCGAAGATCATCTTAGATTCCCCGAGGTAACCCGAGAGAACTCGGGTCCAGGCAGCCTGGAGAATCACCTGCAGCGGGTACCCAGCTCTCGCTGCCGCCTCCTCTAGGGTGGTCAAAGGAAGGCTGCTCGTGAAAACTTCAGATAAGACGTCGCGGGTAGCTTGGCGGAGTGGCGTCATTACTGGGAAGCTGTTTATGACGAAGTCTTGAGCCTGCTGTTTCCAGAACTGTGCGGAACTCTCCATCTTTGCAGAGACTTGGCCAAGTATGTCGACGACTACATCCTCGGTCCGGGATGGGGGAGACGTCATGTTCTCCGCGAGTGCTTTCGCTAGGTCTTTCAAGAGAAGCTGAAGCGAGTGAGCATCGTATAGTGCGTGGTGAATGGTCAGGTGCATCTTGCTTCCGACAATGGCAACCTTCCAAAGCCCCTTCCACGGCTCGCTGACCGCAGAACGAGCAACTCGAAGCCGCCACAATTCCGGGTCTATTTCGTCAGTGAGCTCAACAGCTGTGAGTTCCGGCAGACGATGTTGAATCATGGCAAATGCAATCTCGTCATGTTCGATCGGTATGACCGCAGTGCGCAGGATAGGTTGAGTGAGTGAGAGTGACTCCCAAGCCCTGATCAGGTTGGAGGTATCCACGTCGTTGTCCAACTCAAAACACATGTAGTTGAAGTAGTCGATCCCACCGGACTTCACAAACTGAGCCATCATGGCGGATTGAAACGGCGTGCAGGGCAAGATCACCTCAATGTCATCAGCTGGAACCCCCTGAGCGATGACTTGGGGCAGCACCTGAGACTGGAAGCCGGCAAGGTTGAATGCCGACTCATCCTCCAAACCAGGAGCCCTGGCAGCGATCAGTTGACCAAGGCTCTGACAAGTCGGGTTATCAATGACATCGCTCGCAGCCACGTGGTAGCCAAGGTTGCGGAGCATCGCCGCAATGCGCACGGCGCTGATGCTATCCAATCCGAGATGGTATATTGTTGTGTGCCGCCGGATACGCTCTGCGCTGGATGACGAGAGCTTCGCAAGAACAACACGAATTGAGCTTTCGACTTCGGTCCACTCCTCCTCTGGGTGACGTGACAGGTGTGTAGTCAAGGAGGACTGAGGAGGCCGCACCTCGATATGCGCCAGCCTTTCGGCCAATCCTTCAGGAACATCCTCGAGCAAAAGACGTGATGCAGGAAACTCGAGGCAGCGCCGCATGGCGCAGGATAACAAATCGAAAGCCAATCTGACAATATCGTCCGGCAGTTGCGAGCTTAAGGGACACATCAGCGGGTGTCAACCACAGGTACTGAAAGGGGCCACAAACCTTTTGGCAGTATGCATCTTGACAACAAGTCGGTCTATGGAATCTATGGGTATAAGTTCGCAAACAAGAGGAACCTAACATCATCAGCACGTCTTCACCTAACAAGCAACTATGTTACTTACATCCATCTCGCCATCGTCACGCTCAAGCGTCCACAACGACTGGTCCAGCGACCGAGAAGGCTGCTGCAGCAACAAAAGCGTGTCGAACAAACGCCGTGCGCCGTGCTTCGAAACCAACGACTGGATTCGCTTGAGCGGAGTGAACTGGTATTGCATGACCTCCACATTGATGCTCTGAAAGGCCTTCATCAGATCAACATTCCGTTGACAGCTTGAAATGTTGAACCGAACAGGAACCGTATTGAAACAGGGAGCTACAAGCTCCTCAATACCCTCAAGGGGCAGAGAACGGCCATTGACAACATTCCCGAAGCAGACGTCGCCCGTCCGGAAGAGGCATCCGAGAGCGATTGCCCAAGCTGACTGAGTAAGTGCCAAGAGTGACACGCCAAACTCTCTGACCTTGGTCCTTATCTGGGACAATGACACGTCCAGATCGTAAGCTCCAACAGGGGAACCAACGCTGGGGTTACCTGACCTCAGATCAGATGTCAGTTTCGGTTCGTAGCGCGCGAGATGTCCCAGCCAGAACTTGTCTGTCGAAGCCGGCAACACCAGGGCTTCTCGAAGAAACCTGCCGTACTCCAACGGTGGAGGGAGGGAAGCGCCAGCGAAATGTTGCTCGATTTCATACAGAAGCCTCTCAATGGCTACCCCGTCATACAGGGCATGATGGCACACAAAAGACAGATAAACGCAGTCTCCTCGCGCAATCGTAGCAAACGATACCGCCGGCTCCATCGTTTCCAATGGACTCGACACTCCTTTGGCATGGCGTGAAATGCAGTTTTCGACGGTGGATAGCGACGCATCAAAGGAGTGCCATGGCGGCCGCCAACGGGACAGCACAACCTGGAGGATGGGATATTGAGCATCGTCCATGGGCACAAAGCACGTGCGAAGAATGCCGTGCCGCGAGCACATGGCGTCCCAAGAAGCCTTTAGTCTCCCCAGGTCCCCAGTGACCCTGAAAAGCATGTGGTTGAAATACTGCCCTTTGCTTGTCGACATCGCGAGCATGGCTTCCTGGAGTGGGGTGCATGGGAGGATTTCGTCGATGAGCAGCCCCGGACGGTCCAGCTTCTCGGCCGCCTTTTCGGCCAGTGATTTTGGAACAAGATCTGCCTCTTCTAACCGCGGATCCCGTACGTCGTCAGCAGGCAGAGCCTGTGCAAGCCTTGCGACGCTCGCGTTCTGCAGAATGAGGGATATTGGAAACCGCTTGCCGAGGCTTTCCTGTAAGTGCCTTGACACTTGGATGACGGAAATGGAATCAAGTCCCAGCGTTGTAAGAGGCGTCCATCTCTTGATGTCGCCCCTTCTAACGTTCAACGCACCGGATACAGCTTCCGCAACCCGTACCTCCGCGTCAGACCAATCTCCATCATCCGTATCCAAATCAGCCCGGTGGCTAACTAGTGCGACATAGTCCTTCACAAGACCGCGGGAGGCGACTTTCAGCCGGCTTCTATCCAGCTTCCCAGAGGCAGTTGTTGGCAGACTTGTGATTGGAATGATGGCGGAAGGCACCATGTACGCAGGAAGCTGCCCAGCTAGGGCACGATAGAGTGATTGAATGCTCTCCGCAAGCTCATCGTCCACATCGAGAACCTCAAAATCGACAGCGTGGTGCTGCATCGGCACCCAAAATGAGACGATCTTGTCCTGAGAACCGGTCTCTTCTCCACGCAGAAACAAGGTCGTAACATCAGCCCCGAATGCTGACCGTCTCAAGGTCTCAGTAATCTCCTGAAGCTCTACCCGTTGACCCCGAATCTTGACTTGATCATCTGTCCGACCAACAATGAACAGCGATCCATCTGGATGCATTCGTCCGAGATCACCAGACCTGTAGAGTCGCCCAAACTCCGGATGGTTGATGAACTTGACCGCGGTCAAGTCTGGCATGTCCAAATACCCCTGAGCAACTTGGGCTCCACCAAAACACAGCTCACCTAGACAACCAAGCGGGACGGGGTCCATGCTCCCCTGGGCCAGGACAAACGTCGAGGTGTTTTTGAACGCCAATCCGAGGTGCTGGATCACATCATCAGAACCCATCTGCTTGACGCTGCAGATGTTTGTAGTCTCCGATGGTCCATAACCCTGGTAGAGCTTCTTTCCCCACTTCCGGGCAACTGGCTCAGTCATTGCCTCGCCGGCGGTGACCAGGAACTCGACCAGTGGGACATTTGCTGGGTCAATCAGGGATGCAACCGTCGGCGTCATGCTGAGATGGGTGACTTCTAATTTACGGATCGACCTCTCCAGATTCTCGAAAAGAGTGTCGTTCGTGGCTGAGCAAAGACAGATCCCCTGGGTCCAGGCAAAGAAGATCTCAAACACCGAGACGTCGAATGCCTGGGAGCATGACTGCAGCAACCTCGAGTTATCGCTCACCGGGTAAATATTTGACAGAACATCGAGGTTGCTCATAATGTTAAGCTGCGTGACGCATACGCCTTTCGGCGTTCCCGTGCTGCCGGAGGTATAGATTATGTAGGCCAGCCGATGAGGATCAGGGGTACACTCCAAGTTCCGCATAGGGCCCAATTGCGTGGGCAGTTTCTGAACATCGACCAGCTTACACTGCAACCACTCGAGGAGCTCGTGAGTGTCGGTGTCTGTGAGGCAAAACTCCACCTTTGCTTGCTGTAGTATGACCTCGATTCGGGCAAAGGGCGTGCTGGGCAGGAGGGGCAGATATGCACATCCCGCCTTTTGGATCGCAAGAATTCCGGCGTACAGATCAATCGATTTCTCCATGATGATGGCGACCACTCTCCCTCCGTCCAGGCCTTGGTCTCTAAGGTGCCACGCAATCCTGTTGGCCGCCGAATTGAGTTCCGCGAATGAAATCGTAGTGGTTTTGATCATGCCCTCAGAGATACAATCCGCGAAGCAGAGAGCATCCTTCTCAGGGTACTTCGCAGCAATTCGCTCGACGGCGTGCGCAAGGTCCGGCATCCCGGAGCACGATGTAGGGTTGGGATTGGCAATGGAGAGGAGATGTGACGGTAAGGGGCTCAACATAGACGCTATGTCTGAATCCAGATTGTCGAGTATGTGAAACAGCAGCGCCCGGACTGACTCCTTCAGCACATCGATCTGGGGGCTGGGAATCGAATTGCTATGGTAAGTGAATCGACAGTTGAAGTCGCTCTCCCTGGGTTCCACCTCAACTAGAAGCCTCGTCTCAAGGTAGTCCTGGTGAGCAACCTCCCTGAAGACATCCGTGGCTTGCCCATTCTGTAGAGCCTCCTGATAGATGAAGAGCACATCATACAAGGTCTGTCCCGAACTGATTCCCGCAGCTCGTTTGATTTCCCACAGTGGTAGCGTACCGTGTAGAAGGGCTTCCCTATTCCCCGCGTGTATGCTGACCAGAAGATCTTTAATCGTCCGCACATGGGTGAAGCTCGTTCGTATTGGTAATGAGGCGATACATGGCCCTAGAATCTCTTCAACTCTAGAAACAGGTATTGTCCTCCCAGATGTGACTGAGCCGACCACGACGTCCGGGTTCCCGACAATAGCGCTCCATAGCCATGCGACGACCGCTTGAAATAAGGCCTGTGGACTGCAGGAGATGCGTTGCATGGCTGATTTCACATCCCGAGGACTGATATTGAGCGAAATGGACGACGAGAGAACTTCAGATGTACTTGGAGTTTTCTGATGGAGCGTTGGGAACGGAGCAGGCTGAAAACCCAAAAGCTTTTCCGTCCAAAACTCTCTTGCCGCATCACAGCTGTCTCTGAAGGCCTTGGATTCGTAGTAGGGCGATACTTCTCGAAATTGCGGCCTGAGATGAAGTTCAGACCCCTGGGTAAGCAAGGCAAGGTCAGACAGGAGCAGGTCAAGTGACCAGCCGTCGTAGATGGCATGATGCAGATATAAAATGACGGTCGTTTCATCTTGTTCCGCCCCAGGAGAGATTGTAACCCGACAGGGAGACAAGAACTCGTCCTCTGTCGTTATCTGGAAGTCCTTGTCTGGACATTCGGAGATTAATATCGTTAATTCGTTGGCGTCCCTGAAGATGACCTGCAAAAACCGGCCATTGCGATGCACAAATCCAGTTCGCAGAATCTCATTCATTTGGGCGAGTTGCAGAAACCAAGAACGGATGCTTGACACTAGAACGGTTGGCGAGAACCGTAGCTCGACCCAGTTGCAGTACGCCCGGGCATCTGCCACCGTCTCGGCCAGCATCGAGGTTTGCAGCGCTGTGCATGGGATAATGGCTTCGATCAGAGCCATCCGACTTGAAAGCGCCGGATTGCTCTTAGCAATCGTGGCCAGGTCGAGATCACGCGAATCGGCATCTATCCATGAGTCTCGCGGTGATAATCCGGTAGCCTGGCTCAGGCGTGCTCGCAGGGCAGTAATCGTCCTAGCCTCCAGCACCTCAATCGCACCGATATCAAAAGAAGCTTGTCTGAGGGTAGATGCGACCCTAATCGCGCTGAGCGAGTCGAGGCCAGCCCGGGAGAGGTCTTGGTCAGGTTGTATTTGGGAACCGAGAACCTCTCCCACAAGGTCGCAGAGCTGCTTCTCGACAGCATCTCCCTGATGAACGTCTCGTGACATTTCTGTGTTTCGAGACTCTTTATAATCCGTGACAAGCCGCTTCCGGTCAATCTTTCCGGACGCGAGACGAGGAAAGCTTTCTACTACAACGATGTCGCCAGGTAGCATAAAGCCCGGGAGCCACTTTTTGCAAGACACCCTGATTTTGGACGTTGGATCACCGGGGGCGTCCACGGCACAAAAGAGGACGAGTGTTGCGTCAGTGACAGCAGCAACTGCGCCGTGACACCCTGAGGTCCTTAACGCCGCCTGTTCAACCTCGCCGAGCTCAATCCGCTGGCCCCTGAGTTTTACTTGCCCATCAGCTATTCGGCCAAGACACTCCAGCGTGCCATCTGGTCTCATGACTGCCTTGTCTCCTGTCCTGTACAGACGGCCGTATGCTGTGTCTATGAATGCCGCAGCCGTCTGTTCTGGCCGGTTCAGGTAGCCTTCGGCGAGTTGATGCCCGCCCACGGCCAGCTCCCCGATTTGCCCGCGAGGGAGGATAGTGAACGTTTGGCCTGCATCGCCATCGTCCGGAACGCTCAAGATGAATGCCGAAACTGTGTCCAGGGGAGAACCTATGGTGTGTACGGTCGAGTCACAGGAAAAGGAAGGTTGCAGAGTGCAGTGTATTGCTGCCTCGGTCGGTCCGTACATGCCCCAGAGCATGCTCGGCCGCTCGCTATTGCCGCCAAATTTGTCCACCACTGGTGTGGTGAGCATCTCCCCGATGGTCAGGAGTAGGCGAAGGCCTGGGACATTTTCCCGCCTGCGAAGCAAGCTGCCCGCAACCGTCGGCGTCAGCTCGCATGCGTCAACCTCCATGTCGTTGATGACAGCGGGCAGGTCGTTCAGCATCCTAGGGCGATGGCAGCTCACAACGGTCTTGCCCCTGAAGAGCGGGAAAAAAATCTCGAAAACAGACACGTCAAAGGTCGGCGCGGCAAACTGAAGGAACCTCGAAAACCGCGGAATATGACGGTCGTGAGCCAGGAGACTCTGGGTAGCCGCATCGTGAGAGACGCCCACGCCCTTGGGAGTTCCGGTCGAGCCTGACGTGTACATCACGTATGCCAGGTCTTGTGGGCGCGCTTGTCTGTGCCGCGCATGCACCGGTGAGTTATTAATGGAGGGCTCTTCATCGACGATCAAAAGAGACAGCCCATCTCGGGGCAGTCTTGATGCTAGACTGGAAGTCGTGATGGCAACAGTTGCTGAAACATCCTCCGATATGAATTTGGCCCGCTCAAGAGGGACATCTAGATTAATGGGGCAGAAGGCGCCGCCCGCTTTGAGGATTGCCAGGAGCGCAATATAGAGCTCCGGACTTTGCGGGAGAAGGACCGGGACGACAAAAGGCCTCGCCTCGTCTGCGGTGGCACCGGCCAGGGCCGAGATCCTGGCTGCCAGTGTGTCGGCAGCATGATGGAACTCGGGATACGACAGCGAAATGCGGTCGCCATCTTGGGTCAGAAAGTCAATAGCCGGGTTCCCATCTTGCGAGCTTCTCTCAACAAGCAGATGAAGCAGATTCGGGCCCGGTATGCGTATTGGAGGGTGATTGGCCACTGACAAGACGTCTTTACTGGCCTCATTCAGCGACCCCATCGTGCTTCTGGTGGCTGACGAGATGAACTTTTTTCGTTGATTGGCTCCCCCTTTTCGTTGAGCTTCAGATTAGCCAGAGGATGAGGCTACCACCACAAGGGACTTTATTTACACCCTGACGCCCGGCGAGCGTTGACTTGCAGCGCCCTCTTTCCTACTTAGGCAAGTACCCGTATGTGTGTGTCGGCGTTCGATACAGCTTGTAGAACGGCTGCGAGAACATTAAATAGCCGGCTTCTGATTGGCCAGGATGAACAGCGAGGCACTCCGTGACGAGTCGGAGGAGGGCGATTGGATATCACGCATAGGCAATTGGGTAGTTGGCGAGTTGGCTGGACGGCGTGATGCTGCTTTGGTGTCGGCAACCGCAGTATGTTTGGCGATGCGCACTGAAGACGACCCCTTGCTCGAAGTTCACTTTGTCGGGTGGTCCAGTTCGGCATACCGGTGAAACGTGAGTTGAGGTTGAGTTCCAACTTCCAGGTTAGTTCATGTTTCCCCACGCGCGCGGCAGACCCCATGAAGGTTGCCAGGTTGGCTCGTTGGTGCCTTCCATCCAAGTTATGTATGAGCCTACGGGGCCGGCCCAGCTCTTGCCCTGAACAGATTGGAGTGACAGCACCCACCAGGCAGGTACCTTCCCACCCTGGGTCCACGCAGAAGAGGATCGGATGGAGGCTGTGGAGTACTGTGGAGCTGCGAGAATCCAGCGAGGAAGTTGCGAAGGATTGCACTCGGCCGATTTGCATCTACCGTTCGGATAGGTACCTCCTGCCTTTAGCATCAGAAAATTTCAGATGGATGGATCATGGGTTGAACTTGAACACCCCTTGCCCAGTCCCGACTCCGCTGTCAGCTCCCAGGGACAATGGAACTGTGTCACTCGTCACACCGTACAGGATCCGGCTCCATCGGCTGTATCGGCGAACGCATTCCAACCCGATGTAGTCTTTGGCGGGCAGTTCCCAAATCCCAGTTGACCTAGGTACGAGGCACGCCGGATCCCAGCGGGAAGCGACGTCGGGTGCTTCCGCTGTTGTCTACCTAACCCTTTGCCGGCGTTTCTGGGCTGATGCCCCTCCTTCATTCATGTGCATGTTAGTCAGAGCGGGTATTGCGATTGCGTCATGGAGTGGTGAACCCCCATGCCCGGCTTTATATGAACCGCTACTACCCTACCCTCCAACATGGAGCTCTGAGTGGTACCAAGGACCAGAGCTAGGCGTGAGAACCCAAAATTGGCTTTGCTCTCCGTAGACTCCTCAAGCACTGCCGTTCATATCCGATCATCGGCCACCATATTGAGCACCTTGCAGCAGTATCTGCCACGTCGTACCCGTGAGTTTGAACTCAACTTCACCCCCACTTTCGACTCAAACCCAGGGGTCCAGTCTGGTAAGGATGAAGTACCTAGTGTTTGACTACTCTGCCTTATTGAGTAGGCTGGCATGCTGACCACAGCCCACTACTGTATGTCGTCCAAAGGGGAAACCGAAGCTCAATGTCTCAAAGTAGCGCCTCAGCCTACGAGATGTCTCCTCGCCATTCATGGCCACTCTCAGTTTGAGACTCACAGAGAGCTGCCAGAAGAAGAGTGGTGACGTTCCGGGTGTGTAGCCCATAACTCGTTCAATGTGGCAATCAGAGTATCCAAGTACAATGCTTCTACAGCCACCGTTTTATGCTGATGATCCAAAAATCGACTCCACCATCTCGCCAGACCGCGTCGACAGCACAGAAAGAAGGGTATCACTCAACTGCGCCAACGGTTAGCCGGGAAACAAACGGGATATCGGGTGAAGCATGAAGTGACGGGGACTTACACCATGGGTGGCCTCGCAGCAGCCTTGCAACCAAACGCCTGATCCGGGGGCCACCGCGCCCGCCGAGAAACGGACCCGATAGTCACGGCCCACCTCCATCACCCGCGTGGACGTCTCCTCCTTATGGTCATTGTTGGGCACCCCCACCAGCCATCCGTCTCGTCTCGGCATCCCGCTCTCATCGCCCACGGCCGGGAGCATGTGCCACGTATCTCGGAGCATGTCCAAATGGGCTGTCCGCTTATATCCGGTTGCGCAGATGACCAGGTCCACATCCAGGATTTCCTCCTCCAGCAAGGGCCCGTCCGGCACGCTGGCACCGGGCATGGGGACCAAGGCCGTCTTGAGATGCAACCTGTCCCCCTTTTCCTCGACCCTGACAATGTCCCGCCCAGCCAGGATTCGGTGTGGCCACTTTTTCTCATCCGGCCCAAGTGTCCGCTTCTGGTGGTACATGATCTCGTAGAGGTGCTCGATCAGCTCGAGGCGGACAACGCCGTAGTTGGTGGTACGCGCATCGGCGAGGAGGTTCGCGCGGTAGGCTGGTGGTTTGGGGTAGATGGTGTCGATAAATTCGGGATTAAAGATGGAATTGACGCTTGACTTGCGTTAGTATGTTCCTTCGAGAAGCGCTGAGGGTCGATACTCACAAGGGGGAGTCGTCGCTCGGCTTGAGGAACTCGGACCGCATGACCAAGTATGTTTTGCTATTGGGATACAAGCTTTGGACGTTGTTGAAGATCTCGGCTGCGCTCTGGCCAGCGCCAATGACGGCAACACGATAAGCGGCTGACTTGTCATGCAGGATACTGGGAACCTGTTGGGCGTATTGTGACGAGTGAATAACACGGGGATGCTGTTGCGGGAACAGCTTGGGAATCGAGGCCTGGCCGCCGAGAGCTATAACGACATTCCTTGCGCGGTAGGTGGTGACGGCGCCCGTCTTGGTGTTCCGAGATGTGACGGAGAACGTCTTGAGGGGGCCTTCCTCCTGAACGGGGGATACGGACTGCACCTCGTTCTGGTAACGTACAACGTCGTCGAAGTGGCGGGCGCACCAGCGGAGATAATCCTCGTATTCGACCCGCGCCGGTAGGAATGTGTTGAGATTTGTAAAGTCGACAAGCCGGTTATTCTTGTGGAGGTAGTTGAGAAAGGTGAAGTTGGAGCGTGGGTCCCGCAGTGACGCGAGATCTTTTATGAAGGAAATCTGCATCCTGGCGCCGGGGAGAAGCATGCCTGCGTGCCAAGCAAACTCGGGTTGCCTCTCCAGGAACAGGACCTTGGGCGGCTGCCTCAACTTGCCAGCCTCCATGGAGTCGTGGAGAGCGACAGCGATTGCAAGGCTGGCGGGTCCGAAGCCGACGCAAACCAAGTCGTGGATAGTATCAGATTCCGCGGGCCTGAGAAATATGCTTTTCGGTATCACTGGCTCTCTGACGCCATTTGTGGCACCATTGACCAGCTGAGGGACAGCATCGTGGTCGTGGGTGCCGTTAACTGGAGGAAGATCCATATGGTCGAGGCTGTGTGGTGACATTGCGCGTGCTTCGAAGAGCAGCTGCCGGACTTTTCAGATGAAAGGCCAGCCGAGAGCAAAAGTTCAATGTGTGTGTCCAACAGACGGGGTCCAGATGGCGCATTCCCCGATGGCGCACCAGAGCTGAGAAATGGTGCTGTCCTGGGTTTTCCGAACTTCCAGCGGGCTGGGTGGGAGGGTAACAGCGTTCTTCCCGCGTTGTACAACTGTGATTGACGTAAACCCGCGGCAAGGCGAAGCGGGATGAATGATAAAATGTGAGGAAACCCTGCTTCTCTGACGTAGTCACGTAGAGGAAGCGAAGGGGGGAGAGTGTGTGCAGAAAGTGGCTGAGACTCCCATTTTGATACCGTAGGAGGGAGCACCGGGCTGTCCACGGAGAGCTCTTTCTAGGCTTGTCAAGGTCCGGGGGTCAAGAGGGGATCTGGTCGCCTTGCTCATGCCCCTACCCCGGCCCCCAGAAGCGAAATACATTTCGTTGAGCCTGGTCGAGCAAGTCCATTGCGTAGACCCGCTTGCGCCACTGCGGAGTGTCTGCTGCTTCGAGCAAGCGGTGACATGATTTAATGGCCCAAGGTGGGGGAAATTGACAAAATTTCGCTCAACTTCGGAATGGGTGGACAAAGAAGGTACCTGCGCACCGTCTGGGACCGCTGGAGAGAGGACAGAGTGTGTGCCTTGAAGGAGAACCTTGGAAGAAGCTCCGAAGGTGGACACGGGCCTGTGGTGGGGCGGCAGTGGGTGATGATGCATCATTGATGCAAGCTTTCAGTGGGCCTTGGGCCATTTTTCCAGGATCTGGGCGGACCGGAAGCGGTACTCGGGCTTATCTTCGGATCAGATAAGATGAGATCAGGGGTTCCAAGGGGTCGTCACGGCAGCGAGGCTGCTCCCGTGCCCAATCAGCGGCAGATGTTCGCGAGTAGCTCCGAAGAGCGGATGCCAACCCTGTCTCACTAGGGCCGGGACAAGGGAGAAAGAAAAACGAAAACTGTTTATCTGATCGTATGACAATGGTGCGTGGGTCGGTGCCCGCTGGCATGGAGGTCCGAGAGCCAACGACCACATTTAGGCGGCGAGCAAGGTAAGGTAGGCAAGGTTGGCGATGTGTACGCGACGAAGAACTTCAAGTCGAGCCTATGAAGAGGATGGCTTCTTCCAAAATGTGCCGGGCCCATTGATCTCTGGAATGTGAAGATGGTATGGTTTCCGATTGAGGTCCCTGCCTTTGCCTGGATCCTCATATCGGCATCTCACACAATGGTGGGAGAGATCAGGAAGAATTTGCGCAAAATTGCCCATCTCCAGGCATCCATCACATCCATAAAGCCGGGGCCCACAATGTGGTTGCCGATGGGAAGGAGACACCTGCGGTTCCGGGCCTATCTGATCATCAGATAAGATTATCGCATGTTTGATGAGGGCTTGGCGAGTGGATAAATTCGAACGAGTGGCAGGTGCGAGTGGCTTGCAGCCTGCACGTGCAGTCTGGGTCGCTCTGCGCGACAATTGATCATCCCACAAACTGCCAGCGAAAGCCGACGTCGGCCGGCCCAAGAGTCGGGTGTCGACAATCCTTTGGAACACGGCCTCGCTTGTCGAAATTTTCCAGCCTCTTTCGTGCTGCCGACTCAATTGGGTCGGAATCCTAGTGAGCTAGGTTGACACGCAAACCGTCTTCGGACAGTGACATTCCAACTCCTCGCGAGTTGTCTGTGGAGTGATTGAGCTGTAAGTTTTCTTGATTTCCCTTCGATTATTCAGTTCTTCTGAGTGGTCTTGCATTGAGACTCATTGGAGCCATCATGGAACACACAGAGTTCCTAGGGGGGTATGCGAGGCAATCCCGTCACCAGAAGCAGCCACCATGGGTCCCCGCCCGCCAGAGACGCGTCGTGGGGTGGGGAATGGAACCGAGGGCGGCACAAATTGCTGTGAACGCTGAACGTTGACAACTTGACACAGCACAACTCACTTGTGACTCCACCTCGGAGATCCTCACTGCTGGCCGAGTTACCCCGCACCAGACCGCCATCGCCTCGGCAAAAATGCTTCGAGGGACGAAGTACGGATACTGAGCCAAGCTTCCCTCCTCCGACCCGGCGTCCGGCATAGCGTTCAGACGGGCCTGCTAGCGGCCCACCGAAATCGCGCACTCGGCGGATCGTGTCGGTAGACCCCGGACCGGGCGGACCGGGAATCTTCTCGAGGGCCGGTCTGTCAGATAACGACATTGACCGGTCCCTTCACCTGACAAACGCCACTAATTATCCTAGCCCGGCCCTAGGGACACCTGCCCAGCCCCAGAATCTTATGCCGTGTTACCTTGCATTCAGAGATCGGCCGACGCCTCCGCGGTTAGACCTGTCCGGTTCCGTCACTCCCACTTCCCGACCCCCATAGAGCTCGCTCGTATGCGGAGGCTGAGCAAGCTAAGCGATTCTCTGGTCGGCAGAATGCTGGTAGCCTCGTCGCGTTGCAAATAAGAGTTACCAGGGCTGCGGCTTACCTGTCATCCTGCCGCATGCCAGCGTCAGAGTTCAGCCCAGCGCACCGCGTGTCAGGGACTCGGGGCATATTTGAGGCTGTTCTCTGGCCGCAGCTGCAGGGACAAATGGTCATGATGGTGTTGTCTCCTCTGTCTCAGGTGTAAGCAAATGGGCAATCACCTCAAATATTATACTTTTGGACGCGACTAAGAAATTCAGTGTAACCTCGCCAGTTCAGCTCGGGGGAAAATTTCCTCAATAGGGCAACACCGCCGCCTGAATGGGGCACAAGTTGAAGTTCGTGTCCACACAGATCAGCGTTCCTGAACGGTGATTTGACCCGTCTTACGCCAAGGAGCCCTACGGTCCGCAATGCGCAACATTTGGGCTGGTTTGTGGGGAATTTAGAGTTTGCGCGCTTCTCTGCGGTCCGAAGGCCGAAATGGAATCGAACGCTCGCCCATAACGTTGAGGCTCAACACCAACAACGAAAACCCCTGCATAAGGCCAGCACCAACGAACGCCACATCTCAGATCTTGCCGTGCCCAGACGAGACGAAGTTGAGGAGACCTCATCGTCAGGATCTGAGATAGACTAGCTGGAAACTCAGACACCGACTCCTTTTCAACATGGGGCGCCCGGCAGACGAGGACCTCCCCGAGGTAGCGACATTCCCACCTCGATCAGAGTACTCGACACTACCTGAAGTTGTGCCCGACACATCACCTGAAGCAGGGCAACCACCATTGCAATACCAGCACGATAAATTCGCTGCGTACTACGACGATGCGCCGAAACTGCCAAACGAGGAGCCTTCACCAGGTGCGGGGGTGGGGACGATGCAGTCTCAGGAGGGTGTGGGAAGCGCGCTGGGTGCCATGAGCCCGGACACATCAGTGCCGTGGCAATCTATTGACCAGCACACAACACAAAATGAGAAGCAGGAGGAGCCGCGCATCTGTGGCATCCGCCGGCGCATCTTCATCATACTCTGTGTTGTCGTCGTTCTCATCATCGTCGCAGTGGGAGTCGGGGCCGGCATCGGCGCCTCGAGGGCCCGTGGGGGTGAGGAGTCAGAGTCAGACGCGGCGGATTCAGACAGCAGCAGGTTAGTGAGAATTGCTCATCCCAATGCGATTGCTAACTCGGACATGCAGTGCGTCAGGCGGGCAGATATCGATCTCGGCACCTACCTCGACAACAACCTCCATCGCGCCTGCGGAGACAGTAGAGTTTCTCAACAACCAATCCATTGGTCTTGGTCAGGCCTTTCAGGGATGGGAGGGCTTCAATTTCACGGGGAGAAACACGCCTATCTTGAGAGAGGAGGGCTTCCACGACCTAGAGATCCCCATCGTCAGTTATATCTGGACGCCCAACGGAACCGATTATTGCATTACCATGTGTTACAACAAAACCCATAGAGCCGGGTGGAGATGCCGGCCACGACGGCAAAGAGAGGCCGAAAATCAGGGGTTCAAGCGGATTTACATCTGGACAAATATCGCGGCAAATGACGGCGCTAGCTCGAGATGCTCATGAGGAGCCTCACGGCGTATTGAGGGGATAGTGCGACCAAGGATTGAACTCTAGGTGTTGGGGCATGTGCTTTTGCTGTTTTGAGTTGTTGAGCATTGCAGATGATACCTCGTTGAATTGGCGGACGGTTATGGGCATGGGATGGCTTTACTTTACTTTTGGGGATCGGCGAATCGGGTCCAAATAGGTTGTCTGTTTTGATGACGTTGTTAGACAGGGTTTCCAATTCGCCAAAACAGGAGCAGGGCGTTATATGTACAATATGTATCCGTAGGGGTTATAAATGGCCTGATAGATGCCACCTTCCTCATTCAAATGGGCCCTCCAACCTTGTTTCTTCCCCTTTCTCGTCCTCCTTTCTGCTTTCTTCGCTTGAATGTCAACCCGCTAATTCGTCTCTTGCCCATACAGCAACATCAATCTTGCTCCTGCCCTGAGCAACATCAACATCACCCTGAGTGTTATTCAGGTGAATCGAACATGCCTCAAAGCCGGTCCTCCCCATCGAACCCCTAGACGACCAAACTACCACAGCCAATGCCTGTCATGAGCGAGCAACGGGACTTCAGTAGACAGCTAACGAGTTCTCTTAGACCCCTGGTATCGCCCACTGTTTCCGAGTCCTGGCCCGGTTGAAAAACTTGAAACAACTTGAAGTGCTCTCGGTTGTTACTCTTCTTGTTCAAAATTCGGATAATGAAGTTGAGCAGGTCGAGGGGAATCCGGGCCTTCAGTGGAACCGGCACCGTCATGGGCAACTCGCACGTTTCGAACTGGTGATGGGATAATCCTCCCAAGACCCGATAGATGCGATCACCCGTTAGCTGTAGCATGGTATTGAGGACCGCCACACCACGATCTGCATCGTACATGGGCTGTGGCTGTGGTGCACGCATGAGGCTGGTGGTCTGGCCACTACCTTTCCGAGTCAAGCTTCTAGTATCGCTGGACATGCCGTTTTTTGTCTAATGAGGATCCCCCTTGTTCGTCTGAGAAGACTGCTGTGATTCGGGGAACATTTCCAGAGTGTATGGTTGGGGGGCGTTGGGAAGGGTGGGAAGCGCTTCTTCATCGAGTGACATCCCCAGGAGGAGGCGGTAGAGATCGGCCATGTCCATGTCGTCCTTGTCTATGACAGTTTGAAGGCTTGGACTCGTGCCTTCAAGTTGGCTAGCAGGACTTGACTCGGAAGCTAACATGCACAAGACATTAGTAGTTGACCCTGAAAACAGCAACCGGTAGTAGTCTAAGCAACCTTGAAAGCTATACCTTGTGGGATCTGAACTTGTTGCTTCACTTCATCACCGGCATGATGCTTCCTATACTGGATTCTTCGACGCCGGGATGATATCCCCGATACCCCCCTTTTGTAACCACGAGTACGAGTGACGATGCAGCCGTCATTAGCCCGATGGTGACCTGACATGCAATGGCGGCGGCGGCATGGCGAGCAGACGGTATTGACACAATCTCGTGCTGTCTCGAGACCTGAGCTTCAAATTCAGCGCCCTGTTCCAGGTTTACCGTTTTCAATATGCACGTACTCACACCGTCGCCCCGTGCATTTTCTACATCCGACGTTGTTATACATTCGGTGCATGGTTCCAGCCTGGTGAGATGTCGATCGGTGAGGAGAGGCTGTACTAGTGTTGACGGAGAATCTGGGGATCATACTTCAAAGCTCAAGGAGTTGTCTTCAAGTTCAGTCAGGGTGCCAGTGCCGTTTGATCAAATAATAAGCCAGGCTGGCCCAGTTCAACTGAGCAGTGATGGTGGTCCATTGATTCCTAAACATCGCGGCAGTGTATAATTGGTCCAGCGCATGACGGGACATCATGTCAACCTGTTCCGACCTTCGTATCGGGTGACGACGAGTGGCTCGCTGCTATTGAGCACTGCAAACATGAAGCCGTGAACAGGACGACCTCAGGGAGAGGCTTCGACTTGTGTAGTGTCAATAGCTCGGTTTGTTTCTCATCTCATATGAAGTATCATCCAGATGCAAGGGACATCAACGTGCAATTTCAAGAGCCTGAGATGGATTGAAGCGGGTCATGGAACAGTTGATCGGACATGGCCCTTGAAAGCTAAGAGCCATCCCGGGAAATCGTTTAGTCCGGTTTCTAAATCGAAAGACTGTAAGCATCACAGCAAGTACCAGGCTCTATTACCTTGAGTTGAGTTTCTCGAGTTTGGCCATCATCACTTTGAGTTTGAGGGAAAAGAAGTGTGAGAACTGAGAACGATTGATTCGGATTGAGAATGTCGGCAAGCGGTCGCGACGGCTGACGCCAGGTGGGCGATTCCCGACCCACTTTATTTTTGAATGACGGAACGCTCCCCGTCAACACCAGCGGGAAGCTTCGCAGCGCATCACCGTCTGCGCCAACGTAACACCAGATTCCGTCACCATGCTTAACACCACTCATCAGACCCCGTCGAGTTTCCAGCCGCCACTTCCTCCCGGATGGACCGAACACAAAGCGCCTACGGGCCACACATATTATTACAATGCGGAAACGAAGGAATCGACATACAAGCGGCCAGGCGCAACGCCTGTACCTGTCGCCGCACCCGTCGCCGTACCCGTTCCTGCCATAGCGAACCCAATGGCCAGCTACATGCAGCACCAAGCAGTGCCAGAGATCAACCTCTCCGACCCTGCCGTTGCGAATGCCTTCATGGCACAGTATGCCCAGCCGCAACACCAACCCGGCCACAGAGGAGGGCTCGGTGCGGGAGGCAGGGGCGGTTTCCAGCCCCGACCCCGCCCACAGCCAGTTGACAAGCCGAGGTCAAAGGTCGCCATTCCAGGCTGCGAGCCGTGGATACTTGTCTACACCAAGTACGGCCGACGATTTGTCTACAATCCGGTCAAGAACGCTAGCTACTGGCGCATCCCCGAGAAGCTCATGCCGGCCATTCTCGAGCTCGACCAGGCGCGGATCCGGCAGAAGGCCGGAGGAAAAACAGCAGAGCAACAACAACAAGAACAAAAGGACGAAGCGGCAAAGGGCGCTGAGAAGTCTACTACCACCACCCCCGCAGCAGCAGCAGAGACGCAGCAGCATGACAAACAAGCGACACCCGACTACGACAGTTCCGAGTACGAAGAAGTCGAAGTAACAGACGACGAAGAAGGCGGCGAAGGCGCAGACCAAGAACAAGACCAAAGCAGCAACGCGCCGAAGCGGCAGCGGACAGAAGAGCCGACCACCGCCGACTCCGGACCCGCCGAGTTCACCGAAGCCGACATCGCCGCGCAGCTGGCAGCCATGAGCGCCGAATACGGAGACGACGAGATGGTCGACGGCGAAGCCGGGGGCTGGGAGGAAGGCGACGAAGGACTACCCCTCTCAGACCACGACGCCCGGGAGCTGTTCAAAGACCTGCTCAACGACTTCCACATCAACCCATACAGCCCCTGGGAAAAACTCCTCGAAGAAGGCAAAGTCTTTGACGACCCGCGCTACACCGTTCTCCCCACAACCAAAGCCCGGAAGGAAGTCTGGGAGGAATGGTCACGGGCCAAGATCCAGGACCTCAAAGCCCAGCGCGCCCGAGAGGAAAAGAAAGACCCCCGGATCCCATACCTAGCCTTCCTGCAGGAAAAAGCGACACCGAAACTGTACTGGCCCGAGTTCCGCCGGAAATACAAAAAGGAAGACGCCATGCGCGACCCGAAACTGTCAGATAAAGACCGTGAGAAGTTTTACCGCGAGCACATCAACCGGCTCAAACTCCCCCAGGCAACACTCAAATCCGATCTCAAGACCCTCCTGCAATCCGTGCCCCTATCCGAACTCAACAACCAGACCATGCCCTCCCACCTGCCCCCGCGCGTGTTAAGCGATATACGGTATATCTCCCTCGCCCCCCAAATTCGTGACCCGTTTGTCGAAGCGTACATCAAAGATCTGGGCCCGCCACCCGAGGCCTCGACAGCGGGCGGGACAGGAGAGGGTGGGGGGGAGGACGAGGCGGCGAAAAAGGCGCGCGCGAAGCGGGAGAAGGCGCTGCAGGACCGGGAGCGGGCGGTGGCTGAGGAGAAGAAAAGGCAGGAGAAGAAGCTGCAGTACGAGCGCGCGCGGCTGAGGGATGAGGAGAGGGAGTTGGAGAGGGCTATGCAAGTTGGGAAGAGGGGGCTGCAGAGTCAGCTGCTGGTGGTTGCTGCGGGGGATAAGGAGCAGCAAGAGCAACGGGCGGGGGAAAGGGCTGGAGGTGGGCAGGAGGAGGGCATCTAGGTAGGCAGTTATACTGAGTGACACCAAAGCAATCTAGGCTCAGGTGCCGGGACTTGAAATGGAAATGCCGTATCATGATCCGATCGCTAAAACGAACAAACGCCACGCAATGCACCCTTTTCCCCGTCTCCCGCCGTTCACAGTAATCTACAACCCCATACTCCGTACTTGGTAAAACAAAAAAACCTACCAAATCCTCCTAGCAACCATCTCATACCTCACAACCCCACTAAAATCCTTCTCCTTTTCCCTTTCCACCCTCTCCTCCGCCTTCCGCTCCTTCTCCCTCGCCTTCCTCAACCCCTCCAGATCCTCCCCAAAGATCCACCTCCTCCGATCCTCCCCAACCTCCACCTGGCCATACCCCCCCGTGCGTTTCCCCTTAGCATCAAATGACTCCTTTTCAGCCTTCCCCGCGGCAATCGCATGCTCCTTGGCCTTCATCCGCGCGTACCTGTCGCGCGCATACCGCAGGAGGAGCATGCCCAGCAGGAGTTTAACAATGAGCAGCACGAGGAAGATGAGCAGAAACACCACGACCATGGTCACCGCGGCAATGACGTCGTCGCTGGTGAAACGCAGGCTGAGCCACAGGCGTGAGGCGAGCCCGGTGGGGATTTCATCCGTCGAATTGGTGTCGGTCGGGTTGCCGAAGCCGTCCGTGTAGGGGTAGCCGTAGACGGCTCGGCCGAGGGCGTTGCGGATGAGGTTGTCGAGACGGTCTAGCGCGGCGATCATGGCCGGGGAAGGGGTGGCTGATTCGGTGGAGAGGGAGGTCTGCGTTGAGGGGGGGAGGGGGGTGGGCAGGCGGGTGGCGAGGAACATGTGGTAGATTTGTACAGAGGCGCGGATGAAGAGACAGGAGAGCGGCAGGACGGGGAGACCCAGGCGGCGGGTCAAAGACGGGGTTACGAAGGCCTGGAGAGGTTAGAAATTACCTGCGTATCTAGGCATGGGCGAACTCACATTAGTGTAATAATCCTTGCACAGAATGTCCAGGATCCTACTGTAAAAGGTTGGCTTGATGTTGTTGAACTTGTTGATGTAGGCGTGCTTGATCCAGTCGACGACCATCTCGCTGCCAATGACCACGATGAAGGGGGACAGCACCTCGCCAGACCACAGCCACGACGGCAGGATGGTAAAGCTCGCAGGCAGGATGGATGCCGTGTGCAACGGGATGCTGCTGGGTCCGCTATCCTCGCTCCCGGCGCCAGGGACCGACAGCCCGCCAACCTCTACGACATTGCGCATACCAATGATGATGAGCATGATCCACAGCTGGAACCGCTCGACAATGTCGGCGCACGTCAACTGGAACGTGTTTTCCTTCTCAAAACGCTTGAAAACGGCGCTCTTGATTTCGACGAACTGGTTCGAGAGGAGCAGGGTGAGAAGGGCGTTCGAATACGAGTTGATGGCCACGTTGAGAGTAGTGACCTGGTAAAACAGGACGACAGAGTGGAATATGTTGTACACGAGAGCAAGAACAAACATTCCCAGTGGCAGCATCACCTTCGAGCGCCCGAAGCTATTCCTAGAGAGCGTCTCTGAGCTGAAGAGACACTCAAAGACGTCCTGGCCGAGGGCGGACAGGAGGCGGTCGCCAACCTCGAGAAGATTGTAGATGGCGTACAGCTTGATGGCCGACTGCGCCCGGATCAAGTGGTACATGCGGCTGGCATCGAGGTTCATCAGGGCGATGGAGCTGCAAACTATAATGGCGCCCTGGAGGAGATCGGCTTTGTGATAACTGGTCAAGCTCGACGGGTTGGACTTTGTCCGGCGGTGTCTGTACGAACCCGTCTGCCTCACACTCGGTTTCTTTGACGAGCCCACGGCGGAGGGAAGATGGGGCGGATTCTCGATCCGACGGGCTGTGGCATCGTTGCCATCATTGCCGCCAGCCGAGCGCGCACTGGAACGGGCCACATTGCCAGCAACCTCCTCTTGCGCCCTGCTTTTGCTTCTAGAGTTGGCGTGACTCGTACGGTTGCTTGCGGCTGCCGATGAGGATCGGCCGCGCCGTCCACGCCGCCACATACGCCCGAGCCCGTACCACACGAAACCCACCAGCCAGCGGATCTCCTTGCCAATCACATATGCCCACCACTGCACCAGCACGGATACTGCGATGCAGAACCGCATCGGCAGCACGGTGAATGTCCACAGCCAGGCGTCCAGGCAAGCGAGCGCGCCAAAGCTCATGGCCTTTTCTAGAAACCAGGGCAGGACCAGGAAGTTCTGCAGGCGTTCAAACTTGATGGCGCTCGACTCATACGGTAAGTCACTGGTGTAAGAGTGGTGGATATATAGCGGGCTCGGGCGCTGTCCTGCTAGTTCTAGCTGCAGCAGTGTAGGGACGGACATGGGGGGGAGCGGAATTGCCGGTGGTATTGGAGACGGGGGAGTGGACTCAGGTCTATCACTTCGGGCAGGCGCCGGGGCGCCGTTCGCTGCATAATGGCCATTCGGACCCTCAAGGTCAAGCGGAGGTGGACGTGGAATCGGGTGGAACGAGTTGCGGCGGGTGGACGACTGTTGGGGTGGCTGTTGGCCTGAAGACTTTCGCCTGCTCATGGGCGGTGTTGATACCGTCCGAGAAGCCAAGCTTGGCCGCCCCTGGGTCGTGGCCCGCGGGTTTGCCCCATCTTCTCGCCGCTCCACCCCAAGCGGCGTCTTTTGACGAAGCTGAGCGGCGAACTGCTGCGCAGCCATTGAAGGCCGTTGACTCGCTTCGACAATGTCTGCGCTCAATGGGGGATCAGGTATCCTGCCATCTGGGACGGCAGCGACTGGGAGTGACTCGGGAGCGGCAGTCAGCTCTTGGATCTTGGATGCGGAAAGGCGCCTGACTCCGTCGGGGTTGCTCGTCTTTGTGCTCGATCGGCTTCGGTTCTTAGCGACATTGACGCTGACGAGTACATGCTCTGGGGCACTTGGCGCTGGATATGAAAGATCCTTGGGCAGCTCGTCATCGCTCTGGCTGTCGCTGGACGGATCGGGTGTCGGTACGCCTTTGGTTGGACTGGACACGGCTCGCTCTCGCGCCGACTTTGACTCGGCATTGGGTTTCGGGGACGGATCGCTCGGGGTCAATGTTGGTGAGGGTAAATGTGATATTGTGGCTTGGGCGCCCATCCTCTTCCGAACACCAGCAGTTGTGACGTTGTCAGGTTTCGCGAGATGGCCGCTTGGGGTGATGCCTCCAGAAGTCGCAGGACCGAACTCTGTTGGTTGCTCCTCCTCTGCCCTGCTCCGGACTGCGCTTTCCATGGTTTTCCTGGCTGCAAAATCACTCCATAGGTAAAGGATACTACAGCCAGCAGCAATTGCTGGCTAAGATGGGGAGCAGATCAGGTGGAGAGCGCTGAAGGCGATGGATTGCGACAGATTGTCGGTGATGTTGTGTAAAGGACAGGTTCCAAGCTTCAATTCAGCCTTGCAGCCGCCATGCAGATGGACACCACTGTGCGGCCCAAGCTCGGGTGAGTGGACCACAGCCCCACAGCGCTTCCAGCCACTGAAAGCCACTAACGCGTTCCCTAACAGCAGTGTTCACAGGCAGCTTGGCAAACCGTTAACGCGCATCTGGGGAACTCTTGTTCCAAGTTTGCGTTTCTACCAAAAGCCTCAATTTTGTGCGATCAGGGACCATGCCTGTCCTCCGACGAAGGACCATGCATAGCGATGGAGTTTCGGCCGGTTCGGGAGCAAATTCAGGCACAAGTGGCACCATGGGTCTGTCATGTCAAGGACAGGGCGAGATACATTGAATCATTTGAAGAGACCCCAATTGAGGTGACTCACAGCGATTGGAAGCAGGGTTCATGAACAGGGCAGAGGACTTCCTAGACTTCAGGTTTCTTCTTGAGTTCCGGTCAACGCCTTGACACTCCTCAAAATGGCAGCAGAAACCCTATCTGTGCCGCCATGTCCGCCGCCGTTCGAGATCGCCGTCGCCGCCCCGGCTCTCGCAGACGACGCCGTCTTCGTAACCTACCTCACCAACCTGATCAACGCAGTCTACACCAGATTTGAAGCCGACTTTTGGCAGCCCGGCAAGTTCACTCGCTGCTCAGCTGCCGAACTGCGGCATTACATTCAGTCGTCCGAAATAGCCGTAGCCTGGCGGCGCGGCTCGTCTCATGCCGATCCGGCCGACGTGATGGGGTGCGTGCGGCTGCACATGCAAGTTGACGACGACGGCGGGAGCATCGGCGCCTGCGGCATGCTTGTCTGCGACCCGTCCTTCCAGGGGACCGGCGTGGGACGGGCCCTGGTGGAGTTCGTGGAGGAGCGAGCGAGGGCGCAGGGTGCAAAGCAGATGCAGGTCGAGGTGATTGTGGGTGACGGGTGGGTGCATGAGTTCAAGGAGCGGCTGGCGGCGTGGTATGAACGGAGAGGATACCGGTTGTTGCGGACCGCCGAGGTGCGAGATGATTTACCTTGGTTGGCCGATATCCTCGCGAAGAAGGCAAAGGTTAGAGTGTTTCGCAAGCGGCTCTGAAAGAGGGACGGGATGCCGGCGTTCCTTAACCGCCGGAGATACTACAATGCCCGGAGTTACCACGTGCAGCCAAGGCCGAAAGCCGAGTGCGCCGCGCGGCCGGCGATAGCGCGGGGTTACACGAGGGCGGGGGATGAGGGGTCCTCAATTGTGAAGGTACACAATTCGAGCAATGCTGGGTTTTCAGGGCCATGATACGATTGATACCAGATTCAAGAGAAACCGAGCAAGGCTTATGAGATTTGAGTTCAGTCACAAGAATACAGATCATCACGCAAAGCATTCAACGATGGTCTCCTCAGAACCTACATGTGGGAGGGAGGGGCTGTTCTCAGTTGAGAATTGGATCTTGAGATTGAGAATGACCCTTCATTTCTTCAAGTCTCCAAGTCGGGCATTAGCGCTACGAGCAAACCGGTCGGGTGGGGTGTTGTAGTGTACAACGTATATACGTAGATGCCGGCAGAAGCTTCCACGGCGGCCAGGCTGCTCCTTCCGACGTTTCATCGATGATCCTTAGAAGTTTGCTCCAGCAGCCGGGCACCGAAAACCATCGGAAACGATTAATAATTCTTGCAGTCAAAACCTTGAACATTTCCTCTGCACTCCGGGAAATTCACTGATTCTGTGACCCATTCCAGCAAACATACCTGACGCAGAGTGACGGGACAGACTGTTTCCCTGAGTTGTAATCATCACCATGGCCTCCAACCCGCCCGCAGTCTGCTGCACCATCGGCGTCAGACATGAGCAAGTAACCCGCCCCCAATATACCAGCTCGAAAAGCGACTGACGTGAGACCCTCAGCGGCGAACCCGCCGGCAAGATGGTGAAGGTCGCTAACAAGCACGACGCCTACCTGGCCACACCCCCCGCTGGCAAGGAGCACAAGGGCGCCGGTATCCTGTTTATCCCCGACGTGATTGGCATCTGGCAGAACAGCAAACTGCTCGCCGACCAATTCGCCGCCAACGGCTACCTGACGCTGCTGCTCGACGTGTTTAACGGCGATCCCGTCCCGCTGAACCGCCCTGCAGACTTCAATATCATGGCCTGGCTGGCCAATGGCTCCGACGGCAAGACCCCGCACACCAAGGAGGTGGTTGATCCCATCGTTGTTGAGGGCATCAAGACGCTGAAGGAGGAGTATGGTATCTCCAAGATTGGGGCGGTTGGGTACTGCTTCGGTGCCAAGGTATGATGGGCCAGTTGAGTCGACGTAACGACAATCAAGCTGACTGGTCTTGCTCAGTACGTGGTCCGGCATTACAAGGATGGCATCAACGTCGGCTACGTGGCGCACCCTTCGTTTGTGGAGGAGGACGAGCTCGCGGCCATCACGGGTCCCTTCGCCATCTCGGCCGCTGAGACGGATAGCATCTTCCCGGCGGAGAAGCGTCACAAGTCGGAGGAGATCCTGCAGAAGACGGGCCAGCCGTACCAGATCAACCTGTTTTCGGGCGTCGAGCACGGGTTTGCTGTTCGGTGTGACCCCTCAGTCAAGGTGCAGCGGTTTGCGAAGGAGCAGGCTTTCCTGCAGGCTGTTAGCTGGTTTAACGAGTATCTAGTGTGACTAACTGGTCAGGAGAGGGTAGTCGGGTTGTAGGTAGGCAATAAGCCACGGAGACCTTTCTAGTAGATACTGAATGATGCCACGTCGCTGACCTCTAGTCTACTCCTAGAGGTCTCTGGCTATAGCATATCGGCACGCACGACCAGAATTTGCTCTTGGGCGACACGCTTTATTACTGTTGAAACTGACCCATCTCCTGGTGAATTCATCAGTGAAACGAGCACTATGGTGCGTGTAAGTGCTAAGTCGATACTTTGCGGTGCTGTAGAAAAGAGCTAGTGACCAGGTACTCCCTATTAGCGTCAATTGTTAAGGTAGAGCTTTCACTTCTAATCGCATCTCTTTTCCTATCTAGTTACTCCCATTTACAAGCGATGGAAGACCGGGAACACCTGTGACATGACCCGGATGTTGCATAATATATGTGTGAATTGGTGAGGCGAATGCCATCATGATGACACAGTCCGTGTATCTAGGTAGCAGGTAACCCTATGATGTACAGGTAAAAGATAAACATCCACCCGCACAGAGGTTCCTAGCACCCTTAGAGCGGAATCAGCAACGATCCATCCGGTTGGATATATCTTGTAATGCCGTACCGATCACACGCGAGCCTAGCCGCCGCCCGAGCCGTCAGTACCACATCCACGAGCATAGAACTGAGACCTGACGCTTAAGAGACTTACGACCACCAATAGTTCCCCGTAGCTATTGTCTGAAAGCTCCCAATATAGTTCTGAACCCTAGCTGCAGCCGCAGGATCCTCCCCGACCATGGCGAGCAGTCTGTCCGCTGCACTGTTGATATTATCCCGGGATATGCGCAGCGTTTCCAGTAGAAATCGGACCACTTCGTCTAGGTCTGCACCTGTGTCCTGCAGAGAAATGGGCACTAGGGAGTGCAAGCTCTTGTTCTGCGAGGTGTCAGCCGGTTTGATCTTTTGCCAGTCTGGGACTCAGGGGTAAGAGTGATGTACCATCTCCTTCTTGAGCGATATCAGATCGTTCACAATCACAACCTGACGATTCGTCTCGAACCACACGGAAGCTATCTCTGCCGTCTTGAACAGCCGCGGGGGAATTCTACCGCCGGCCATGTATCTATACTCAATGTCAGTACAAGTACTTAACCAGACAGCATGCCTGGAGATTTGGAATGGGTGCTGATCTTCAAGTTGGTAACTCACTCCCCTAGCGCGCCATACGTGTGCACACCCGAAGTCCCCAGCCGATGGCCCCAGTACTCATCCAGCTTCGGCAGCGAGGCCCTGCTCACAAATCCGTGCTCGACCTCGCAACACTCCATGTAGCTGCTGAGCAGCTGATAGAGGCGGTTTCTCTCGGTGATGGTGCAGGCAGCGCGCAGTGGCTCGGCGGCATACTTGAAGAGGGCGCAGTATCTTGTCGGTGCTGCAGGCTCTTCAGCGGGGCGGGGGCTCACTAGTCCGAGATGGAACTTGACGTAGCGAAGTGCTTGCTGGTGAAGCCAGCCTATCTTCATGTTTTTGTCTGTTGAAGGCTGGGACTCGGAACTTGCCTGTGGGATGGCGCTGTCCTCGATGGTGTCGTCCCAGAGAAAGAGCCAGAGGGTGTACCAGGAGATGGTTTCTAGACGGTCAAGGGATGATCGGGGGTACCAGCTATCCGGTGTTAGATAGGTGCTGTGCGCAAGAGCGGAGGTCATCAGGGGTCCAGTCACGTACGTAGCAGAGAAGAAGGCGACGTTGATCTTTTCGGCCTTTCTGCGCGCGTGTTCGTCCGTGATCCGCCGACTGATTTGGTCATCAATGATTTTTTGGTGTTGGTCGTAATGGGGACTGATTTCGTTGGGCCATCGTGCATAGAGGTCTCGAAGACTTGGAAGATGGAGCGTCTGGCCCTTGAGCTTCGCAGCCACTTCATCAACAATGGTGACGGTCATTTTGCGAGAGCTTAAGGTAGGTATTCGACTGGGTTCGTTTCCTATCAAACCCAAGTATCCAAAGTTATGGAGAGTTACCCCCATTTTATCTTCATCCGTGCGAGTCCTTTGTCCCTTGTTTATTCCATCCGTCGTCCCGAAGGTCTGGTTCCATGCCTGTTCTCATCCAATATTTGCCCTCCCGTGCGCCTCATTCCCATCACAGCAATGCCACTCCAGACTCAGTCCTTGAAGTCTTGTGACTGCATTCGCAAGATATGCTGAGGCTGCCGTATTTCTTTTAACCCGACAGCAAGCGCTCCCAGATGCGGCTACAATCAACAGCCTGGGCAAAGTGGAAGTGGCCCGGGCAGCAAGGCGAACCGCCTCGGATGTCGCCAGCCCGATGAAGTGTGGTTGCACGGCAGGAATTCAGCGCATCTTATTCTTTCCCAAAATACGATATGCTTATCCTCAGGCAGTTGGGCTGCGGCTGTGCCGTGCAGTTTTCTCAGCGATGTTGGTCATTCACAGCCTGGCCATTTCCTCGGTGACTGTGCCGTGGGCACAGGAGTCAAAAGCTTTATGTCGTTTAGAGAACATAGGATGACTCGAGGAATCCCGAATGGCTTCTTTGGACACATTGAAAATTTGGGCTGACAGGCTCGGTATCAGGGCCAGCAAGCCAACAAGGTTTTGTTCGGGTTCAGGAACAAGTAAACTAGACCCAGTTGCCTGTTCTTCATACAGTGAGGTCTTCAGGTTCTAGACGGACTCCAACAGAGGTGGAATATGAACCTCCAAAAATGTACGTGAACTACTAGTCTATTGGGTGTAAACAACGGCTTCATCATGATATTTTATTCATAGACCTGACTGCGGCCGAACATGAAGGCATGATAAACCTGGTCTTACTGGCAGCCAACTAGGACTAAACTCACGGGACCTGGGTGAGTCATGTCGTCTTATTCAAGTCTGTACAACCCGCGTACTGCCGGCCATGATTCCCGTTACTACGGTCCGACCCCAACTTCAACCCCAGTTCTTACATCAGCGCTCAGCACCTACTCAGCATGCGGTCACAGCTGTAGGAACAGTAACAGCAACGTGAACCGCAGCCGCGGACATCTCAACGTCGGTAGCCACCGGTAAAGCGGCGGTCGCCGAGCTACGGCGTCCAGTAGACGCAGCGCTCCCGTCTGAAGCATGGCAGGGACACTCGTATAAGCCGGGTCCTTGTTGGGACTCCTGTGAAACAGGAAAACCTCGCCTTCGCCGGGATACTGACTAGGAATCAACGAGTACATGTACTTGGCCCCCAACATAATAGTAGGTATTCAGCGTTCATTCACTCAGCAGGATCTCGATCCATCATCACCACCCCGTACCTGCCTGTCAACACGATCAGAGTCTGACTCACCTGATCAGCGAACTCCCTAACCGTCACCCCCAAACATTTTGGCTGTCTCCAAGCACGCACCAACAATCTCCCATGTAATTCGTGGGCCTGATGCTCCCTATCCTCTCGCGACGCAGGCAGCTTGGTGTGCCTGATATCGACCTCTACCTGGAGGGTCTCTATAATCTGAGCATCTTCCCATACGGCGGTCACAACCGCTAGTATTACTTGGATCCGGGACTACGAAGCTCGCTGAGTGACATCTCAGAGCGCGGTAGACGGCTAATGAAACCCGGATTGGACGTCAATTTGATATGAGCAGAGTATAGGCTAAACCGGCGCCCAGGACTAGAGAAGCCCTTGGCAGGAACACCGTCCAACGTACAACTTCCTTGTGGATAGAGGCCTGTTTATACCCGTCCCATGGGGTCTCAGGGGCTAGGAAAGAAGCCTGCACTACCGTAAAGCCCCCGATTTCCCCCTTGGCAACCACAGTTCGACGTCTCCTCAAAAGAACCGAATCCCATTAAGTGCATCATATCTCCAGGGGAAGTTTGAACAGTCTGATTGCATTCTCGCGCGCAACAAGCCGCTTCTGGTCCTCCGGCAGATCGACAGTGTTCCACCAGTCCTGGGCCTCAGCGATGGTGTCGTAGGGGTAATCTGCCGGCCTCTGTTAGAAAGACCAAGCTAATCGATCACGGGGCCTCCGAGAAACACACTGACCGATCGAGTAGAGACACCGATCAACGCCAATCTCGTCGATGCAGAACTTGAGGGCTTTTGTGTTAAAGTTCCCGGACGTCGTGATGGAGATATTATGGGTAAAGTAGTAGCTGTAGTCCTGCTTCGACGGCCGCGTGGCCTTCTTGACCGGCTTGTTGTACCAGTGGTCAGCCCGCCAGAGGTTGAAAGGGATTCTGAAGAGCCCAATGTCAGCGAACCGTCATCATCATCATCATCGCACCACCCTTGAAGCACTCACCCCTCACCCAAATGCCCAACCACCACCTGCACCCTGGGAAAGTCATCAAACACGCCACTCGAGCAAAGCGCATACACATGCATGCTCAAATCCAAATGGAACTGCACCGCGGCGCCCAGAATCTGCTTCCTCTCCCCGTACCTCGTCTTGGGCTGCAGATCCTTAGCAGGCGGGTACCGAGGGTGCAGGTACACGGGCACACCCAACTGCTCAATCACCTTCCAAAACTCCCTAAACTCAACCTCATCATAGTACCGCTTCCCTTCCACATCCCCCTTACCACCCTCACCCGCACCATCACCCACAACCTGATAGTCATTCAACATAACCCCAAACATCCCCAACTCCTGCACCGCGCGCCTCGCCTCAGCAATGGCATCCGCAGCACTGTGCATTGACACGCTGGCGAACGCGCCAAACCGCGCCGGGTTGAGGGAGACTTGTGCTGCAAGCCAGTCGTTGGCTTCCGCGGCGAGGGCGCGTGCTTTGACAGGGTCGGCTTCGCCTTGTGCGCCTGGGGAGGTTAGGCTGAGCAGCATGTACTCGACCCCGTGGGCGTCCATTTGCGCGAGGCGGGATTGGTGGATGTCGAGTAGGGCTTTGGTTAGGCCGTGGTGGGCGTCTGAGGAGGAGGGGGTGGTGGTGGTGGTGGTGGTGGAGGTTTGGCCGGGGTTGAAGAGCGCGGCTGACTCGGCGATCCAGGACACGCCGGCTGGGTTGAGGACGGCTTCTTCGATGGCGATGGTGCCTTTTTTGGGGGCCATGGCGGGTGGATGTGGTTGGATGAGCTTGGGGAATCGAGTTTGTGGTAGTGCTGGGTTGGTTTGGCCTGGCAGTCGACTGCGAGGCAAGGTCAAGATCCGGCTTGGAGTTTGAGCCCCTAGGTAAGGTAATGTCCACGTTTTGGTTCTATACACTGCCTGGATGAGATAAAGGTCAAGGTCTGGTTCAGAGCGTGAGTACTATCATATCCCGTAGAGACACTAGGCCTGCTTACTCACAAGCAATCGGCTGTTACCAACCCCTGCTGCCGCTCATGGCTGGCGGTTAATCAGATCCTGTACCCCGCGCGGGGGTTACGCGGAGCATAGGCAGAAGGGGTGTCAAATGAGATGAAATCCGATGCTATCAATCAGCCATGATGCACTTGAAGAACGTGATGATGTGAAGTACAGGTGGTTGGATTATGTGAATTTGCACGATGCAAAAGGTGGTGGATCTCAGGGGCTAGACGGAGCCAACCCCTTTTGGTTGTCGTGGTTACTAGTATGTATGTATACAAACTTCAAGTTGTTGTTAGTCGATGGTTACCTGAATAGTATAAGAAATAATGTTAGCCTAAGCTTAGCATCACCATGTCAAGACGTCATCCCCCGATCTCCTGTCCCCAGCTGTTCACAGGGTCAGCCTCTAGGGGTATCCGTACTTGAGTGTTACTCTAAGTATGTACTACCCAGTGTAGTTTAGCGAAGTGCCAACTTTTCAATTTTTGCTAAATCTAATCTAAATTTCAGGGTTCTCCACCTCCACCTCCACCTCCACCCTCATGCCGCAAACGACGTTCTTTGCCATTCCTGCCACCCCTACCACAGTGCTTTCACATGCAGCTTGTTGTGCTCGCGATAATAAGTATAATAGCCAAACTGGGCGTTTTGTCCATGGATGCCACGAGGAACCCACGCTAATGCCGTGCTGTTGGAGTAGTATCTCTGCTACCCCTATTTCGGCATCTCAACCGAGAGGCCCCGCGGGTAAAGCTTTCCGCTGCACCCATGGACGGGTCCTCCAGCCATGAGACGCGCCGACCGCGAAACTGAGACTCAACTGCCGCGTCCCAGCAAGGAACGGTTCGCTTGGGCGTTATTGAGCACCTACTTGGCCACATGGCTGCATGAGAAGTCCGTGTCTGCTCAATGCTGAATGCGAGGTCGGACTTGAGCGGGGCTTGCCTCCTCCTGGAAGCTGTAACGATACTTCGGCCGAGCGATTCGGCCGGCATGGAAGCACAACGAAAACTGTAGAGAGCACCAACGATCATACCTACTACCTAGTACCTACTACCTTACCTATTTCCTACCTACCTTTGTACACCAATTCACGTCGGCGACTACAGCTATCTGCTCAAGATCACCTTCTTCCTGCGTCCTTCACCCTGTTGGCAGAACCTGTCAAGATGGCGCCAGACAACACCCCAGTCCGACCCCGTATGCTGATCAACGGAGAGGTGAGTTGCTGAGCCCGTTCCTGTGTCAAGAAATACCTGCTAACGATCTGAAGCTCGTGGGGGCATCCGATGGAAAGACCTTTCCGATCTACAACCCGGCAACACGCGAGCTCTCAGCTGAGGGTATGCGATCAGTGACCCTCAACACCCCTTGACCTTCAAGTTCTTGCTGACACACTCATAGTCCCCGAGGCCAGCGCAGACGACACCAATGCCGCCGTGGCAGCAGCCAAAGCCGCGTTTCCCGCATGGTCCGCCCTAGGCCCTGCCAAGCGCGCGGGCTACTTCAAAAAACTCGCCGCGCTGATCCGGGAGCACCGCGACGAACTGGCTCGTCTCGACGCCATCTCCATGGGCATGCCCGTCTCCACCTACTACTACGCACACATGGCCGCAGCGCAGTACGACTACTACTCCGAGGCGTGGCCCATCGTCCAGGGCCAGGCCAGCGTCAACACCCCGGGCTTCATGACCATGACGCTGCGCCAGCCGTACGGCGTGGTGGCGTGCATCATCCCGTGGAATGTTCCTGTCTACTTCATGGCGGCCAAGTCGGCCCCGGCGCTGATCACGGGTAACACGGTGGTGCTCAAGTCGAGTGAGAAGGCGCCCCTTGCCGTGGCGCGCATCGCTGAACTGGTGGTGGAAGTTGGGTTCCCGCCCGGCGTGTTCAACATCATTTCCGGCCATGGTGTGCCGTCGGGACAGATCCTCTCTCGGCACATGGACGTCCGCGCGCTGAGCTTCACCGGCTCCAGCCGGACAGGGAAATTGATTCAGGAGGAGGCGGCGCGGACCAATTTGAAGAAAGTTGTTCTTGAGCTCGGCGGCAAGTCCCCGGCCATTGTCTTTGAGGATGCCGATCTGGCCAAGACGGCCGCCAAGACGCAGTTCAGCATCCAGAATAATAGCGGGCAGGTGTGCATGGCGAATTCACGGATCTACGTGCAAAAGAGTATCGCGGAGAAGTTTATTGAGGCGTTCAAGAAGGAGTTCGCCGCCAATGCCCGGGCTGGGAATCCCCTGGATACGCAGACCAACCACGGCCCGCAGGCGGATGAGGTGCAGTACCGGAATGTGATGATGTACATTGAGGAAGGCAAGAAGACGGGCACGCTGGCCATGGGCGGGAATGGCAAGCTGGAGGATACCAATGGGTTCTTTGTCGAGCCGACCGTGTTTGTCAACCAGCCTGAGGAGGCGCGCATCACCAAGGAGGAGGTGTTTGGGCCGGTGGTGATCATCAACACGTTTGAGACGGAGGCGGAGGCCATTGCCAAGGCCAACGACACCGAGTTTGGGCTGTACGCGGCCGTGTTTACGCGCGATGTGAGCAGGGCCATGCGGGTGGCCAAGGCCCTCGAGAGTGGATATGTCGGCATCAACTGCACTAGTCCCATGACGGGTCATGACTTGCCGTTTGGTGGGTATAAGGGGAGCGGGCAGGGACGAGAGGGGCTGCTGTACAGCATGAATAACTTTTTGGAGACGAAGAGTGTTATCATGCAGATAGATGAGGAGTAGGCGGGCGTCTACATGTATGTCCGAATGTGATGATCTACTACCTGCATAATGCTGCATTCAACATGGTTACTTAGCCCCTGAGCTCCCTAGGCAGGGGGACGGAGTTGAAGTGTCCTACATTGAAGTAACTTATTGACATTTCTACATTATAATTCGCCCAGATGAGCGGTGGTGTCCATTCAAGCAAGGTCTGCTGGCTAGGTAACAGGTAGTAGGTATCCGACAAGTCCAACCAGTGAGGCAGTGCCTCCAGCTGAATTGTCCTTGTTCACAGCCTCGGATGGTGTCCAATCATCCCGTGACAAGTTGGTAGAAAGCGCTACCCCTCAACTGAAAGATGGCGTCCAATCTCACAGCTTCATCCTACCTGGTGCCTCCCTGGTAACTCTCACTCGGTCAAGTATGTCCTAGATAGCATCTACTAGTACCTTAGATCCCATACGACCCACCTATGTACCTAGGTAATATACTAGGTATCTTCAGCATGTCAACCACCAACTTCTGCTACACCCCCTTACCGCCCGACGGCCGCACCATCCGCCGGCTTTCTATCCTCCCCTCAGCGGACTTTTCATCCACCATACGCATAACCCCGCAAGAAATCTCGCTTGACAACGACCAGCTACCCCACGCGCTCTCGTATGTCTGGGGCGACGGGACCGACACCGTCGCCATAGAGCCCAGGGCGGACTCTCACAGTGCCTGCTTCCAAGTCCTCCACGTCACGCGCAACTGCGAGCAGGCCCTCCGACACGTGCGGCACGCGACAGAGACGAGATATCTCTGGGTGGACGCAATATGCATTGACCAGCAGAACCTCGCCGAGAAGGGACAGCAGGTCGGGCTGATGGCTGAGATTTACCGCAAGGCTCGCGGGGTTATTGCTTGGCTTGGGAGTAGTGTCGCTGGTGAGGAGGACATGGGCATGGATAAGGAGCTAGGCATGGCGGTGGAATTTCTCAACGACGTGGCCGCACTCCCTGAGGACGTTGCCTTTCAAACCTTCCGCCAGAAGGTTCTGCGCAAGTGGGCCTGGCGATGGCGCACAGCCGTGGCAGGCCTGAAGCGCATACTCAGCCATCCTTGGTGGACGCGGGTGTGGGTGTGCCAGGAGATCATGCTCTGCGAGGAAGCGACGGTGCTGCTCGGGGGTGGCCACTCAATCCCCTGGGAGACCCTGGTCTCGGCCTCCAACGTTCTTGTACACGTCACCAAGAGCCCGGCATCGTGGGCGCCCGGCCCGCGAGGCGACGACTTTGACGATAGGGGGGATGGCTATCATCCACTCTGGAAAGCTCTAGTTAGTGCTGTCCAGTTTGATCTCCCTTGGTTCCGAGCCGCCGATAGGAAGCTGGTTCGCGGCACTTATACCTTTGAATTTCCCGCGGGTCTGGTTAACCCAGAGGATGTTGAGGTCTTGGAGGCTTTCTTCCGTCAGAGAAAAGTCATAAAAGCGCTGGTAACCCGGCTGAGCATCACACGGAATCTCATGTGCTCAGATCCGAGAGATCGGGTGTACGCACTCCTTGGGTCTGTTACACAGGGCGCCACCATTGACATGGTCCCTGACTACACCAAAACCTACCACGAGGTTTATTGGGATTTTGCTAGGGCCACTGAATCCTTTACCTTGTAGTTTCCTCTGCTCGGCCGGTATCGGCATCGGCATTGGCATCTCGGGTCCGAGCAATGATGGTGCCGCAGCACCATTACAGTCATTACTCACAAGCCGGCAGCAGACCACCAACATCCCGTCGTGGGTCCCAGACTGGCACCTGATCCATTCAATTTCCATGTCCGGCCGGGCTCGCGTCGGAAAGCTGCCGGGGATTTACAACGCCTCGCTGCAAGAACTTGGCAGGGCTGAGGTTCTGAGCCGAGGCCGCATCCTGTGCGTCGAGGGCTCTCTTATCGACGCCGTCGAGAAACTTCTGCCCAGACCTCTTACTTTAGGTAGTGACGATGGCGGCCATCAAGCCGTCCTCAAGGCCTTCCCTGCCTCTTACGCCGACACCGACAAGCAGACAAGGAATAGGTTCAGAATGGAGCGGATACGCAATCTGGTGAGGACATGCACCGCAGACGCGGATTTGAGAGGACGGAAGCTCTCTGAGGAAACGGTGACGATATGGCTCCGGGGCGCTTTTCTCATGAGGGACGCCTACTCGGATAAGGAGAGTGACGACGAGGAACATGGAGGGAACGAAGAGAATGATCAAAACGGAGACTCAGACTTCCTTAAAGAGCTTGAAAGGCCATGGAAAGAAGAGGACGATGAAGATGAAGACTCAGACTACGAGGCTGGCTCCGAGGAGGAGCTGTACTCCCCCGGGGACGGCAGCTTTGGTGACTTCGTCGAGGGCATGTCAGGTTTTCACACGTGTTATAAGACCAAGAGCGGGAGTAGGCGGTTCTTCCGGACTCGGGAGGGGCGAATGGCCCTAGGCCCGGACGGCGTAGCTGCTGGGGATGTGATATGCGTCGTTTTGGGGTGTAACACGCCGTTGGTCCTGAGAAGGAAACCGCTGTGGGAGTGGGGATACTATCAGTTGGTTGGGGCTTGTTACGTCCACGGGGCTATGTATGGCGAGGCCGTGACCGAGCTCTCGGGCTCGGAACCGAGTACCATTTTGATTGTGTAGGTAGGGGGCTGGCAAATGCAATTTTCATATATTCCAAGCTTCAGATCACTTGAACCTCGTAAAGAACCATTCAGTACTACCCCAGGTGGCGTGGTAACTCTAACGAATCGCCGATAGCGAGCAAGTACATGTACTAAGAGCAGCCGAGGTGCCCTCTTCAGTCGAGTCTTTGCCAAGTCCGCTCTGCTACGCCTTCCAGGTTCGTAAGGCAAGGTACGCACGTCTAACCCCTAAACACCATCTTTAATAACCTCTCCCAACCCCCTTCTAACCACTGCATACCATACTCACCCGCAAGAACCCCAAGTTAAAGTCAGAGCCCCTTACCTATGCTGCCGCCACAGGGGTCGGGCCAATCGGCCCAACAGGGAGCAAGGTGCTCTGTTGCTCACTATCCGGGTTCGTCACCTTCCCAAAGATGTCATCAAACACCTCCTCGGCATGCTTCTCGGCATCAAACTGGTGGATCCAGTCCTCGCGCGGGAACGAGATGCTCTTGGGGTCCTCGGCTACCTTGGCCCAGTCCGTCTTGTGCCACCTGTCGCGCGTGGTCTCGCCCGTCTTTTGCACCGCGCGCACGCGGTCGTACCTTGCCCTCTCAGTCAGCATCAAGATAATAGTGTTGGGAGAAGAGGGAGTGAGTATGACCTACCGAATCTCCTGATGCGTCCTCACCGCCGCCGGAACATTCTCCTTGCCCGCTCTCTTCAGACACACAGCAATCGTCACCCCATCCTCCATGGCCTGCGTCGCGCCCTGGGCACTCGTCGGCAAGAAAGGGTGCGCCGCATCACCCAACAACAAAATCCTCGCGTGCTTGCTGACCCAAGTCGGCAGGGGGTCGCGGTAGACGAGCTTCCAATCGACGAGATCGGCCTCGGGCGTCTTCTCGACGATCGCTCGGCAGGTCGGGTCCCAGCCCTCAAGCACCTTGTACACATCCTCGAGCTTGCCGGGGAAAGACCACGACTCGTCAATGTCGTGCTCGTCGCGGTGCGTCAGCACCCAGCAGCAGTCCTTGCCGCCCTTGATAGTGCTGAACAGGAAATGCACGTCGGGCCCGATCCACCCGTTGAATGTGTCCCCGTTGGCGCAGAACTCGCGGGTGCGTGGGTCGGCGATCATGTCCGTGTTGGGGAACCTGACAGACATCTGGTCAGCTTGAACTACACCACTGCCACGGTGAGGGATGAGAGAGGGAAGACATACCACGCCCGCCACACCGCATACCCGCTGCTCTTCGGCTTATCCACATACCCCAACACCAACTCCCTCGCCTTGCTCCTCACCCCATCCGCGCCAATCACCAAATCCGCCTCGACCCTCTCCCCATTCTTCAACACAATCCCCGCCTTCCCCTCCCGTTCATCCTCCCAATACTCCTCCACCCTCTGGCCCAAGTGAATCGGAATCCCCAACTCCTCCTTCGCATACCTAAACACCACCTCATGCAGCTCCCCCCGATGCCCATTAAACACCGGCGCGGTGGGATCCTGCGGGGGGGTGGGCTGGTGATACACCACCTCGCCCGTGTCGTACTTGTGGATGCGGAAGCCGTAGCTGGTCAGGTCGATGCTGAGCTCGCGCAGGCGTTGGGCAATCTTGCCGTTGCTCCAGCGGTGGTAGATGCGTCCGGCGTTGGCGCCGAAGGAGATGATGTCGCCGAGGGTTTTCAGGGCCGGGAAGTTCTCGTAGATGGAGACGGAGTGGCCTTGGCGGTGGCATTCGATGGCGGCGGTCAGGCCGCCGAAGCCGGCGCCGACGATTATCACTTTGATGCCGCTTTTGGGGGGTGAGGACATTGTTGTGGTTTTGGTGGTGGTGGAGAGCAGGCGAGATGACTCGGGTGGCGGCGGGGTGTTATGTTGATCGACCTGAAAAGGGCGTGTTACTGACTTTGAAGGGTGATAGCGATGTGCTAAAGGGGTTGGCAGTCCAAACGATGGTCTCTAAAACTCCTGTTATTGATAACAGCACAGCAAAGCAAGGTAATGTGACTGCAGGCCGCACCGGCGAAGAAGCATGCGGGATGTATTAATTAGTACTACTTCAAATATCGATAGCACGCGGTGATGCAGACATCCTCCCTTCCGGGCTCTCCACCCCGGGTTGGCAATCACGGTGGAAGCGCGTTGTCACTTGCCAGCTGCAGAATATCAGCCTATTCCGGGCCGCTGTTTAACGCGCCGTCATTTCTCCTCATCTGCCGAACTTGGGAACCAAGCCCGACTCGGGGTGACGGGATGCGATGCGGGGAATGGGGATGTCCCCCGCACAGCAGCTCTCCTCCAAATAGATCTTGTCCTCGTGATCTTGCGGTTGCGTTCGGAGGCTGGCTGACAGGAAGCCATTATCCGTCAACCTGGTTAGGGTACGCGATTCGCTTTATGGGGTGATGTGATTCTCGCTGGATTATGGGAAGATCAACAATCGACGCATCATGGGGATAACCCTCCTCGTTTGTGTGTCCCAGGACCCAAACATTGCCACTGGCTAGACAGTAACTTTTTATAGTCGCTTTTATTAGAGTAGGCCATCGTGAAGTGGCGGTTCATGTTGCTGAAGGCATCCTGATCTCGTTCAAATCACATTTCAGGGGTTGCAACATTGTTGACTAAACCTGAAGATCCCGTGCAGCGCATCATGGATCCAATGTATATCCTGTAGACGCTCGAACGACCTGTAAGTTTAGTATCTATTCTACCAGAAACAATGCTATGACCATTATACTGCAAACTTCTCGTTCCCTCTGTCATGAGAAGAAACTTAGAGTCTCGAACTTTAGTGTGTCAACTGCTATGCAACCGAGGCAACCCAACATGAGCATCTCCTCGCTCCCACTTCTTGACATCTACCAAACCAGATCCCGTCCGCCCCCTATTTCACCTTAACCATCTTAACATTTCCCTTCTCATCAATCACCGGCTCCTCCTTGACCTCCCTCTTCATCTGCTGATAAAAGGTACTCATCCTATACCTACTCTCCCCATCATGCACCCTCAAATCCGCCAGTGCCTGCTCCCCCTCCCTAACAATCGCCTCCCTAACCTCCTCACTCCTGGGCACAATCTCGCACTCAAACGGCTGCGGCCTCATATTCAGCCCATTCGTAAACGCAAAGATATCCACCTCCCTTTCCCTCCCCGTGACCGGATCCCTCCCCTTCCGTATATCAAACCCCCACAGCAACCTCGCGACCGTAATCCACGTCCCCTGCTCCGCCAGCGCCTGCCCACTGCACACTCTCCGTCCCCACCCAAAAGTCATGTACCCCCTATCCCCCGGAAACGGCCTATGCAGTTCATGCCCTGGGATATATCTATCAGGACAGAACCGATCCGGATCGGGAAACTCCCTCTCATGGTGGTGAATCGCCCAGACGTTGCCCTGCACCCATGCCCCCTTGGGGATATACCACCCGTTGTAGGTATCGTCCTGCGTCGGGGAGTGGGGTTGGCCGCCGATGATGGCGACGCTGCGCCAGCGGAGGACTTCTTTGACAAATGCGTTGATGTAGGGCAGGTTGGGGGAATCGTCCCAGTGCGGGGAGCGGTTGGGGCCGATGACGCGGTCCAGTTCGGCTTGGGCTTTGTGCATTGCGTCCGGAAAGGCGCAGCATGCGAGGATGAAGGTGATCAGGGTGGAGGAAGAGGTGTCGGAGCCCGCGCCGAAGAGGTTGCCGGTTAGCCCGGACAGTTCGGCGATGGGGAGGTTGTACTTTTTGGTTTCTTCGAAGAGGGTTTTGACGTAGGGTGTGGGCATGGAGGCTTGTTCTGAGGGGGATTTTTGGTTGTACTGCCCGAGTGCTTCTTCGGCGAGTGCATAGAAGAAGTAGTGCCCCCCTTTTCGGCCGCGCGCGCCGAGGCCTTTGAACCAGGGCATGAATCGGGGGAATTTGGCCAGGACTTTGACAGCGTGTTAGGACGAACGACGGATCAAAACATGACGAGAGGCAACTCTTACTTGGGAACGTCTCCAACAACATAGGAAACGACTTGCCCGGCACATTCAAATCCGCCGCCAACTGCATCAGGGCAATGACCTCTGTAATAATAGGATCATTGTAACTCGCGACCCTCCTACCAAACGCGATAATGCTCACTACGCTCGTGGCATATCGCTCCAGGTGCTTCACATACTCCTTCGGCTCGCGCAGGAAATCCAGCGCAACCACCTTGCTCTCGTTGTTCTGGATCTCGCGGTAGCCACGAACCGACTGCACTCCGACACCAATGTGCATCAGCTTGCGGTGGATGCGCCAGTGGTCGCGCTCGGCCTGGTTGCGGATCTGCATCGTCACCAGGTTCGACTGGCCCGACCCGAGCTCGCCAAAGACAATCATGCGAGGGCGTGAGGCGTAGATTTGAGCCTTTTTCTCAAAGATCTCGTGAGCACACCATGCGTCGTTGATCCAGACGGTGGGGTTTCTGGGGGTGTTAGTTTACCCCTGAGAAGGATCATGGGAGTTGGAGGTCAAGTGCTTACCGTCCGATCCAAAAGGTGATTAGGGGCGTGTTGTACTTCTTAGACAGTGCCTCAAAATATATCCAAGGCTTGTTGTCTGGTAAGGAGAAGGTGTTGCCGACGATTGGTAGTGGTAAGGGGCCTGGCGGCATGCGGGACCGCAAATACAGCATGTGGGCGTAGTCGGCGGCCAGTGCCACGGCCGCGATGGCCAGCAGCCCAAGGAGGATGTTGGACAGCCCAGCATCTGCTATGATGGACTGCACCTTGATTAAGGTGAAACTGTCGAGTAACCGTTCAGACAGCATCTTTACTGTCCCTGGGCCTTGGGTGTGTTGTGCCTCGCTCAAACTTGGCAGGGAGGGCTGTTCAACCTCCTGGCTTGTCTTCCTCTGGCTCAGGCAATAATGAGCCTTCTGTTCAGGCTTATGAGGGCTCAGGGGTAATTGTGTTTTCTTCGTAGATGGGCTGGTATGGTCCTGATAAGGTGGAGGGTACTAGTAGGAACCTTGAGCATACACAGAGAAGTTTGTACAGTCATAAGTCACAGGTAGAATGGACTGTCAAGCGGACGAGAATGGAGCATGGCCTAAGGAACTCCCCAAGACGCTCTAGGTTGCCGGCTGCAAATTAATCTCCGGGTGAATGCTGGAACTAGCAACCACGGGATAGGAAGGGGAATACTTCCTGTGTGGGGGAACAACAGTCAACCGAACAGGAGGGGTAATGTGTGGCAGTGGGTTGTAAGTAGGTACTGAAGTAAGCAGGTAGTAAATTAGGTACTACTGTGCTTGCTACTAATAAAGTCTTGATCAGCGAATGCCGCGGCTGTATTCCCCAAAAATCACCTCGAGGTGTCTTCTTCCGCTCTCTGGACCCCGCTCCCGAGCCTCCCGTTGCCCCTGTGGGGACCGTGAGGGGAACAAAACAACTGCTGTGCTCTTCCACTGTCCATCTTTTCCCTATGTCGTGCTGAGTGATGGTCTGTATGCATCCTTCTCAAGAAGCTGTATCACAACCAACCTTCTTGAGAGCTGGTTGACCCCAAGTCCATGCACTGCAGTGCTCCTACTCCACATAGCGTTACTCCAACCCATCCATACCGGGTATCATGTCACACACAGCGATACTTGCAGGGATGCACCGCTAGACTTTATAGCAGTGGCTGGCTAAACCGGCGGCAGTTGTCCAGATTAACTCTTATTCGGCACGAACCAGACATCGACCGTCGACGATCCCAGTCTGGCTGCAACATCACCGCTTGGGCCTTGGCAGGCCACCGAATTAGCCCCTCTTCCCCGGATTGGAACGTCCAATGGAAGCTTTCGATCATACAGGGGTGCGTGGCAATAATGCATGACACTAAGGAGACCAGACGCTCTTCGGCAAGGACACCGAAGCCGTTCCAGTCACGACCTAGTTCACTTATCTTGGATACGGTATAGCATCCAGCGAGTATCGTTGGCATGGGTAGCGACAGCGTCACGGTCACGCTGGGCTTTGTGGCAGCTGATGTCTTCGGCATTGGGACAGCAGTGTCAAGTTGGAGAGCTAGAGATGTTGGAGTCGAGTTGCAAAGGAGAGGCGTGGCCATGATGTATGTCCGAAAGCTAGGTAGGTATAGCATGTTAGCACGGATATAAAGCTTGGAGTCTCACAGCCCTTACGTAGATTACATATTAGGTCTGGTAGAAGCCCGCAAAGCTAAATGGGCTGTTAACTCTGTTACATTTCTCTGACGGGAGGGTGCCTCCGAGGATCAACACTTAGTAACAGCACGGGCAGGACTTACAGTCATCCGACTTCCTCTTTATCCCCTGCCATGCCCATACCGGGCCACCACCTACAACTCCGGACATCAACAACGTCTAGTCTCACACCTCCGGACGCTATGGCAGACGAAAAGAAGGCGCCCACAGCCGGCTCCGGCTCCGGCACCGACTCACCACCCCCTGAACATGGAGCCGCCCTCGACCAAAAGTACACCATGAAGCAGCACTGGAAATGCCTCGCCGCCTGCACCTTGATGTCCATGTGCCCGTTCCAGTACGGACTCGACTTTGGCCTGATAGGCGGTTTGCAAGCCATGATCGGTTTCTTGCGGGTTCGTCCCCTCACACTTCAATCTCCATCCAGCCTGAGTCCCAGCCCCCAACCTCAATCCCCTCCCCCCGTCCAACCAACCTCCCAACGCCAGACTCCAGCTAACCACACCACACTGCTCATTGAATGCAGGTATTCGGCTACTCCGACCCCTCCCTCCCAGGCGGGTGGAACATTTCCACCGAACGGCAACAGCTCATCTCCTCTTTGATGACCCTCGGCGCCTTCCTCTCCTCCTCCCTCGCCGGTCCAATCGCAACCGTCATGGGCCGCAAGATGACCGTCTGGCTCGCCAGCATCCTCTGCGTGGTCTCCAACATCGTCATGATGGCGACCACCGACATTGGCGGGCTGTACGCGGGCCGTCTGCTGCTTGGGTTGGCCAATGGCATGTTCATGACGTTTTCCCAGTTGTATATCCAGGTACATCTCCACATCCCTTTCAGTTGAGTGTAGGTGGTTGATAAATAGGAAAGGAATGCTCCCCAGCCCGGTACCGCGGGCTCATGATATCCTCCTTCCAAGTTTGGACCTCCGTCGGCACCCTCGTAGGCACCGTCGTCGACAACTTCACCGCGCCCATCGACGGGCGGGAGGCATACCTGATCCCCTTGGGACTAATCTACATCATCCCCGTGCTCATGTCATTAGGGCTCTTTTTCGTCCCTGAATCCCCCCGCTGGCTGATGCAGCACGGCCGGACGGAACAGGCGCGCAAGGCGCTGCGGTGGCTGCGGCCGTACCCGGATGCCGCCGTTGACGAGGAGCTAGACGACATCAAGGTTGCGCTGGAGTCTGAGTCTGCCCATATGAAGAGCGTGGCTGTGTGGGATATGTTCCGGGACCCTGTCGACCGCCGCCGGACGATCTTGGCTACGTGCGCCTTGACGGTGCAGGGCGCGTCAGGGGCTATGTATATGATTGGTATGTTGCCCAGTCCCTATTGTTCCATCCACGGGAACTGACGTCTTGTCTTAAGCATACGGCACATATTTCTTCCAAATGGCCGGCATCGGCGACGCATTCCAGAACTCCTGCATCCTGATCTCCGTTGGGGTGGTCGCAATTCTCATCAACAGTGCCCTCGTCACCCACTTCGGCCGGCGCCGTGTCTTCCTCGTCAGCGGCCTGCTGCTCTGTGGTCTTGCCCAGCTCCTAACAGCCGTGATATACACCGTGAGCCCTGGCACAAAGTCCACGGGACAAGCAATTGTCGGTCTGTCGGTGCTGTATATCCTAGGTTACAACGTGCGCTAACGCATCTCCATCCCTTTCCTGACATCCCCGATGGATCGTACTGACCTGACTTAGGGTATGGTCGCCACATATGCCTGGATTTCGGGCGGTGAACTGCCGTCCCAGCGTCTGCGCTCCTACACCTTTGGTTTTGCCACCGCCATTGGTTTCTTTGCAGCCTGGCTGGCCACATTCACCGCCCCGTACTTTATCAATCCCGAGTCCCTCAACTGGGGGCCCAAGTACGGCTACATCTGGACTCCATCTTGCTGGCTGGCCGCGTAAGTCGTCATCTGTCGCCGTTACGCCACCTGTGAGATTACACTAACATTTCTGCAGCGCTTGGGTCTATTTCTTCCTGCCTGAGGTCAAGGACCGCACGTTGGAAGAGATTGATGAGATGGTGCGTCGAGTCTCCGCTGCATAGAATGCATTGAAAGCTAACAAAGATTCCGTACACAGTTTGAGGCACGCCTGCCTGCGAGAAAGTTCCGCAAGCATGTTTGCATTGGCCGGCCGGAGGTGGCGGCCGCTGAAATACCTAGCTCAGAAGAAAAAGACGCCGAGGTTATTCACGCTGAAGAAGTGAAGGCTTAGTGGACTAGGTAGCCAGTTGCTGAGCATGTCAGTGTCAAGTATCTTGATTCGTCCCAACTATCCCGTCAGTACGCTTGCTAGAGAGCGTAGGCATACCTACATCCATCCAAGCGATGCTAGTCAAGAGCAATACCTCTCGCATCTGATACCAGCATGCAGCGCCCATTAGTCCTTGCAGATACTCAGTATGTCTGCTCTCTAATATCATACTATGCAACCGTATGCTGCCTTCCATTAAAATGGTGGGCAACGCTCTCGCTGGCAAGCTCGGTTCGGTGGGCGTACAGTTGTGAATGACGCACGACATCGACAGCGAGGTGAGGTTGTGCTCTCACAGCGCTCCTCTGTAGAAGGGCTCAAACTTGCGGCTCGCCCTTGTTACACAACTGGTAAGCCGACCGAGGTACAAGTAGGAGACGCCAAACGAAGGGTCATGGCATAATACATACCGATTTGAAGGATCAAGAGCAACGGGAGGTGCTGCCAAGATATTTGGGTACCACATTCTCTCTGTGTTCATCGGGTAAGCAGGTAGCACAGAGAGAGTAGCCGCGAAAGGCACAAGTAGGCCGGGTTCATACCTTCTGGGTCTTCCACCATGGCAAAATGCAAGTTCCTCTCCACCCTTCTCGCATCCATGAGAAAGTCGAGGAGCATCGAACCGGCTTCGAGGTGACCCAGCACACCCAACGGATCCAGCCCTATCCGGAGTGTCCCCTGCGTCGCTGTAGTGGGACAGTCTCGGATAAGCTCCTCCAGACGTTGGTCAACAAGAGTGGGATCCACCTCGGGGGCAGTGGCCCTGATGAACCCGCGCAATGAGAAGACGTCCAATTCCTGTCTGCTCAAGGGTTTTCGCAGCTCTCCGGCCCTGATACGCACCCGCGCGCGGACAAATGCATACCTGAAGTAGTTTGCCTCGGTCCATTTCGTCCCGGACAACTCGGGGTATGCATCATGGGATATCAGGATGGCCCAGCCTCCGGGATACAGGTCTCGCACACGGGCCCAGCACTCTTCCCGCTGAGGGGGGACCCCGGGATTCCTCCTTGGGGGATGCCTGGGGATGGCATAGCTCTCGGCAGGGATTGGCCGGACTTCCACCCCGTTCATATTCGCTAGGGAGGGCGGCGCGGCGCTGAACGCAAACAGAGCGTGGTCACGGTCGCCGTTGATCCCAACGTCAAGCAAGCCCCTGAGGTATGAGATGAAGCCCGTGGCGACCCGTTCAGGTCGCATTATGGCATCGCCGAAATAGAAATGATTTGGCCAGAACTTGTTAGTAGAGCCCTTCCGGTGACGAACAAACATGTGCTGGATGGGGAAGTGGCCCTGAGGCGGTCGGCAGTTCGGCGGAATCCAAAACTCCTTACGGAGGGCGGCGGAGAAAGCTCCAGTCGGAAGTGCTTTTCGGCGTATGATACCACCTCTAGGCTTTGATAGAAACTCCAAGAAGAACTCAACGCTCTGTTTGTCGCTGGTCCTGGCGGGGTCTTGCACGAAGTACAAGTGCTGAACGTTCCTAAACCGGGCGAGGACATCCAGTACCTCGGCAGGTGTGCTCCCGAGAGTGTCAACGCAGAGACTGAGAGACTTAGTGTTAGGCGAGCCTTCCAATGCCGCCTCGATCGCTCGGGCAGAGAGTCCCTGGAATGGGGCAAGTTCCATATGCTCCTGTTCAGCGAAAACCAACCCCAGGAGCTGTCCCGTGGACCGCGCTTGGCCGACAGACGCAGACCACTTGCACAAGATGCGTCGGAGAATGCTTTGATGATCAGGGACTGTCCGGATATGGTTCATGACGTCGACACTGAATCGCTCCATTACGCTAGCGTTCCGAACGATGACCTCGAGAGCCTGTTCGGCCTCGTTTGGCGGTTTGACAGCCCAGAGGTGAGCCGAGCCCATGATGGATGGTATGGGAGGTTGGCCTTGATCTGGCTCGACGGGCCAAATTACTGGACAGAATTCCAAGTTCCACGTGTTAGCTATGCTATGAAGGCAACCCTCACATCTGGCAATCTTTGGGGTGACTCACTATCCATAGCACGTGGGTTAATGGGAAGGAACTGATTCAGCTCGTAAGCCTCGTCACAGAGGCTGTAACGGAACTTGTGAAGATATTCGAATGCCGACATGGGAATTCGCGGCCGATTGGTCTCGAGCACCTGCGTCGGTGGCATGTAGGTTTCCACGGTAGCGTGCTGACGATTCCTGTCAAGGAGCCAGAAGCCGACGATTCCGTAACGAATGGCATGCAAGCTGGTGATGTCTAGAACAGCCATCCCGTAATGTCTGTTGGAGCGGTACACAGCGCCCAGGGGCACTGGCATGGCTCTGGGAGTAGAACCAGGCACGGATCTGCGGTTAAGGCCGAGCAAGAGACAAGCGGAAAGGAACGGGAACTCAAACTTGATCTTGTTTGTATCCGGTAAATAGGGGTAATCTCCATCATCCAGGCGCCAGTACTCCCCATCTGCCAGCTCCCAGGGCACAGGGTTGGTGGGGTCGCGGTAGAATTCAGCAGCAAGCGCCAACTCTGACCGAATGGCTGTATGATTTGACGGGTCCGAGAGGATGTCAATGACGCCGAGGCACGAGACGAGCACATCGCGTCCCTACATCGATCCGTTCTTCATGCCGGCGGATTGAAACTTTCGGGCAGCGAGAGGGAAGTATGGCCCATCGGGACCTGGTCCGAAATTGGCGACCAGGAAGAATATCCAAGATTCGGGGCCAACGGGCAACTCCACGACAAACCCGGGCGGCACGAGAGCGGGCACGAAAGAGGCCATGGCTGTGCCAAGCTGGTTAGGGACTTATTCGGCAGAGGTAAAGGATATCATGGAGTTATTTGCTTGGAGACAAGAAGGGGGAGACGTACCTGGCAGAGAATGTGAGGCATAAGAGGGGTGGCACAATTGAGATGCTGAAGTTCCGACGGGGAAGTTCACTGTTCACCGGTCTGCCAAATGGCAAACCCGCAATGGTCAGGCAGTTGCTGGGTGCTGCGAGTGAAAGGTATGGCCCGGGTAAGCCGCTGAGTTAAGGGATGGAATGAGATGCCAGGTACGCACCTTCCAGAAGGTGCTGGGCCTGCCTAAGGTAGCAAGTGAGGAAGGAACGAAGCGCAGGCTTGGACAAACTCTGACGTTTCTTGCAACTTCGGCCCCGAGCAGAACAATCCACAAAGACAAGGTACAGCTTGCAGGGACCAAGAATGATAAAAAACGATTGTCTACATGCTATGACCATGTGCAGGATATCCAATATATACAGGAAGGTAAATGGGCAGTAATACAGAAAGGCAAATCGCAGTAAAACCTGTCAGGCACGCAGTGCCAGTGCCATCAAAATCCACCCCCGTGGCGGGGTGCAAGAACAGCAAGCGAAAAACCACCGGCTGCTCAGTTGGGTGTCTGTCAGACCATCATTTAAACACCAATAGCCGTCTTCTTGACCTTCTTGGCCCTCGAAACGCTCCTCCTCTTCCTCTTGCCACCGCAGCTGGGCTTCGAGGGCGTCGTGCTCGTGGCCGCCGGAGCCGACGAGGTTCTCACCGAGGTAACGAGGGTGGTGGTGGGCGAAGCAACCGCCGTGGTGGAGGCGGCAGCGGTGGAAGTAGGAGCGGCGACAGCGGTCGAGCTCGCAACACGGGTCGAGGAGCTAGCGACCGGAGCAGAACCGCCGCCCGAGGACGCACCGCTCCAGACCTCCGGGCCGGGGATGGGGTAGCTGGTGACAGACCCGTAGATGTTGAAGACGATGCCCGGGTCCGAGTAGGTGTAGCCTGTGTTGAAGTCAAAGTTCTCGCTGGGGACAGCCGAGCCGCCGCTGGTCACCTCGACCTGCACACAAGACGGGTAGAACTGGGCGCCACGGGCCGGGTTGGAGCTGTACGCGACGTCGCCCTCGTGCAGGGCAATGATTTCCTGACGAACGAGGTACTTGCCCGCGGCGAGGCTCGAGGGCAGCTTGAAGTCGTACTTGCCCTTGTTGGCGACCAGCGTCTCGACGGCCCACTTGCCGTTGGCGAACCCGTCCTCGGCAATCTTGGTCCAGATGGCGCTCGCGCCGTTGCCTTCTGTGTACGGGGCGATGTAGGTAATGATGGGGCCCTTGTGGGAGAGGTCGACGATGTCGTCGCCGCGCGTGTTGTGGTACCACTCGAAGGTGAGCGTGTCGCCGGCGGCGGCTGAGACGAAGGAGGATGCGGCCTTGCCGCCGTTGACGTTGCAGACGAGGTCAGGGCTCGAGAGGTCCTTCACCGGAGAGTTGTTGGGAGGAGAGCGGATGTAGACGTTGCGGCCGTCGCCCTGGTCGACTCCGTTGACCCAGGCGCTGTACATCAAGGTGTGGGCCGAGACGCTGCTGGCAAGGGCCAGCACGGTGGCGGTTGTGAAATACATGGTCGGTAGTGGTAAGGTGTTGCTCTGCCCGAGGATATCCAAAAGCGAATGGCTGTTTTCTCTTCACGAGTTGGTAAAAGGTGGCCGCCGGCCTAGAGAATGTTGAAAAAAGGAGTGTCTGTGTTAACTAAACAAGGGCTGCTAGGGCCAACAAGAAAAGAACGTATCTGTGAAGAGAAAAGATTGTGGACTGGAGAGAACAGAGATGCAACAGCCTTGAAGCAGAGATGTCAAGCCTTATATAAAGTGGTGCTTGACATAAAGGAGGCGGACAGTTCAACGCAACGTGCCCTGCCCGTCCCGGCTCCACCTCGTGATCTCCATCGCTGGCATCGCACGTTCAACACCAGATCGTTGCCGCCGCTCGCCGCCATGATGCATGCAAGCAGAGATGGTGAGGTATCGGTTAACGATGGTCATATTGCACAGGGTCAGGGGTGGACAGGCGCTTGTGAGGTCTGGGAAGTCGGAGCCGCGACGGGAACCCACATGATTGGTGCAGATTGGAGGCTCCGCCGTCTCGACCACGCGATGGCCAGCATGGTGTGTAACGACGCTGGGGGTTGTGATTGCAAAGGATCTGCGGCTCCCGGGTTCCTGGACGAGAGGTGGAGGCTCCAGCCCCTGACAGGGTCCGTCCATCTTCTTTTCAGCATTCAGAGCCCCGGTTGTGAAACCGCCAAGAGATTTTGGCCTCGGCGATGCTTCCTCGCGTAGCGTAGATCGATCGCTTAACCCCCACGTCGCTTGTTTCGTTTTCGAGAAATCGAAAAAAAACGATTCTCTTCATTTTGAACGGATTGTCCCCGATCAGACAAAACATAAGAATATCATTTCGCAACCATCTCACGATCCCTTTGAGGCACAATTGCCTCGCCGGTGCGCCTGGAAGTGGCTGGCCACCTGACCTGTCTTCGGTTGTTGCCAGGAAGCTGCGAGTCCAGCATGAGGATGCACGGAGTCGGAGGACAACTTGCGACTGCCTCACTCCGGCTCCGTTTGGATTTTGTAGGCAGCTGTTCCTGCCAAACGAGCTGCAATTGTCAAGCCGCTGGTCTCTTGGCAAGTCGAACTCTCAAAGATAGCTGTCTTTCCTAATCATTCTTTAACTCTAATCATAAAGTTTTCGGTTGATGGAGAATTGCTGTAGGCTGCAAACGCCAGGACAAAGTGGGTCCCAGAGGGTAGTAGGATGCCCTCCACGCACGCAACAGTTAGTAAGCCAGTAAGCTAGCCCAACAGTTAATTCAATCTTGAAGCCGTAGAATAGGCCCAAAAACGCGTTTTCTAAGGTTTTCTTCGAATGCGTTTAATTCTACAATATTTAAAGCCTTAGTTAGCCGCCCTTAGTTGGCGGCCTATACAACGCGCCTATACACCTGCTCTGCTTACTAGCTGCCTCCTTGTTGCCTATGATAGTTAAATATACTAATGATTGCTAAAAGAGCTAGGCCTTTGTAATGCTTGAAGCTAGGGGGAGTCTAAAAGAGATTGCAAGTATAGTGTGCTTAAATGACCGTACTGACAGCTGGGCGTAGGCGCCG